GGGTATTACGGTCTTGGGGTAGTGCTAAGCACTATCGGGTTGGTTTCTTTACACACACATGTACACATGTACATGAGAGAGATAGTCATGAATCTGGGAGTGTAGAGACTGTATGTATTTGCTTCTCTCTTATTGGCACAGTGTTCTCAAGATTCATTAAACTGAGGTAGAACTAAGTTGGTATTTGTGGCCTTTGGTTATGAGCATATGAGGTAAACAAACATGTATTGAGAAAAGAGGTGATTGATGTACCGACGTAACACTCCCATTAGTTTTTGTCTTTATTTTTTGGTGGTGTGTGTGGTAATAAGAACTCTTTCTTATACTCCATATTTGCAAGTGCACTATCTCCTATGTCATTGTCAATAGTTCAAGCCAAAAGCAAAAAAAAAAAGATAGAAAGTATCTTTTTACTATATTTCCTGTAATAAAGCCAGAGAAATTAAAATATTAACAATTAAAAAGGATTCTAAAGAGGCCCTAAACCATTCTTGAAATTGAGCTAGAGCTAGATCTCAAGTATATAAGCTTCATATGAATGGAGAGAGATGGTTCTTATATGAATTAAGGTTTTAAAGTTATTTGGAAATATCAGCTTGGACTGTTGACTTTTATATTGTGGAAATTTGTTCTTTCGTTTTCCTTTTCTTGGCTATCATAAAAGTTACTGACACATGCTTATTCTTTCAAACACTTGCATTTGTGTTTTACAGGAGATGAGGAGAGAAAATATTATCATATTTTTGGAATAGAAACCATTTTTTCAGTTTTCATAAAATATTTTTATAAAATTGCAAGAGTTAATGTCAAACGCTAACAAGATTTTGGTTTCTTTCTCTGTAAAAACGGTTCATAGTTGGTCCGCAACTAATTTAGTTTAGATCCGCAAAAGTGCAGATCTCTAAAACTAATTATTGATAAACAAAACACAATTCAATCCAATCCGCAAACGGTTTAGTGCAGATCTCTTCCACTGCAACCAACCATTTAAAGTCTTCATAAAAAACCATTCTTATATATATATATATTTTTTCCAGATCATATTGTTCTGCTTTTTTTTTTTTTTATGCTCGATTAGATTCGGGTTAATTCTAGGGGTTTATAATTCATGCGTATTGCTTTGGGATTCCTAAAATTGTCCTTTTGTCTACAAAATATTCTATACAACACCACACTTTGAAAGCTACTGCATTTGAAGTGATGCATGATTATTAGTTGGATTTGACCACTTAATGAGGTGGTTAACAGAAGCAATTATACCAATACATTTGGAAGAATATGATTAGGAGATGATTGATAAACAAATATATTCTATTGTTAGTTGGGTTTGATCATCGTGTCTAACTATATATTCTTTAATGATTTAGAAATCTAATGAGAATTTACTTGAGATTCCAAACTTCAACAAAACGAACGGAGAGGATTTGAAATTGGTCACCGATTCTTTATAGTGGAGCCAAATTAAGAAATGAGATTGAGGGACGTGGACGTCACCAACACACTCCTCTATGGCCAATCTCCACTAAAAATATTTATATCCTCCTCTTTGCCTCGTGACTCCCACACGCAAATTTAATAATATCTATATTTTCTATTAATTACCGTTGCTAATAGAAATGTGAAAATTAGTATTATAATATGTGAATTATGGTTTGGACCATCCTGCAAATGATCCGGAATACGACTGAAAAAATCGATTCATTTGTTGAGCCGCTAGTCGAAGGATAGAAAGATTTTTTCATTTTGCATGTCTACTTGTGGAATCATATTTTTTTTGAATTCCAATGGTTTAAGAGCAAAATAACCATCTTTTGTGAGTACAGTATATATTCCCTTGACTTTTATTCAAGTGCATAGATGTCTATTGTTGCAATCATTTTTCTTTTGATTTCAAAAGGTTTTAGAGTATTTCTTTAAGATGTCGTCCGTCCATACGTACACATAGATATGCTTGCGTTGCATGTGTTTTCAATCTTCATGTACCTTGCATGTGTTTCAATCTTCATGCATGTACCGTGTACCATCATTCCACACATCATATGTGACATATGCATGCATATGAAAGCATACATAGATGATAGATGTAGTCATAAATAATATATAATATATATGTGCTTCTGTATTTTTTTTACAAGGTTTGGGTAATGCAAAAGAAGAAGCCGTAGTTGTTAAAGAGGATGAGGATCGATGCGATGGATATTCTTATGAACATGACGAGCACGCCCTAAAGGTATAAAGCCCACATCGACATCAAAGATTACGTATGCAATGATATGTAATCCCCCATATGGAGTAATCTACTTTTAATATATAAGATTACATTATATATAGTCATATTAACATTACAGAAAACAAAGATTACTTAAGATATCTTGCTTCTTTTAAAAAATAAGTGTGTATCGTCTATTTAGGCTAGATAAGCGATGATATTATTTATTCGTAAAGTAGCGAATTCCCTTTGAAAGAAAGAAATGTTTAAGCCTTTTTATTGCCATCATCCTCAAAGTTTGCAGCTTTGCAACCACTCATTCATGACTGTCTAGAGTTCTTCTATTATACTCTTTACTTAAACGTTAGTCATTGATCAGTTTTTTAGATTTTATTAAATATGCTACAAACTTTCGTATAATATATATGTGCTGTTTATACCAAAATAAAATAAAATACATGTGTGTTGTTTCTGGATTTATCTTTCCGAGTAATGTTCTTAACTTGTGTTGATTATATGAAAAAAAAAAACTATATTATAGTAGACGGGAAACCTATAATATTCAAGTTTTCATTTCTTGATCCACAATATCTAATATATACATAGATGTAAATTTCTTCTATTAAGATCACTTCCATTAGAAACATAAGTGACACAACCATCAATATTGAGATGCTAAAAAATGGAATGAGATTCTGAAAATGAAGTTACTATTTTTTTTTTTCCTCTGAATTTATTATTTATTGCAAATTATGAGAACTGTTACATAGACGATTCTACAACGGACAATTCCTTCCGACCCTTATTAGATCCACGACCTCTTTCACCTTCTTCACCTCCTTCATGCTCACCTCCTTCACCTCCTTTTTCATGCTCATCTCCTTCACCTCTTTCTTCATGGACACTTCCTTCTCTGTGTGGAATCCTGGCGAACGGCTATAATTGTACATCGCTGGAGATCTCCTGCACCCTTGCCTCCAATAATCTGCAAATTTATTAATAAATTGCAGTATCTGGGACTCGAACCCCAGACCTCTAGGTGTATAAGCATTAATGAACCCTTAGTCAACCAATGGACCAAGGGGGCTTCCACAATGAAGTTACTATTTTTGCTTCTTTATTGCGGATATAGAAGGATAAAAATGAATTCCAAAATTCATAGAGATCAAAGGATTGAATTCTTATTTTGTCATTTCGTGGTCTTACCTAGTAATCCATATCACCTCATCAAAAAAGAAAAATATATTCCTAGAACAAATATCTTGTCGAATTTGTTTTGAATTTTTTCTGTGACGTTTGTAATTTAAATATAGATACATATCATATATAATGTTTTATAAATATATTTTAAAAATAATATACATGGTTTTTTAATATAGAATTTGTGAGAAATTTTTTTTTTTTTAATTTCCTTTAATGTTATATGTTAATTGGTACTAAGATGCTAGCTTCATGACTACCCAAGAAGGAAAAAAAAAAAGGAAAAAAAGCATTAGATCCATAGTCTATGGAAAATAGAATCGGTGCTTTTAGAAATTCTATCAATCTTCGTGCAAAAGAGTAAACTCTTGTCTTAAGCAAAAAGAAAATGATTGCATCTTTGGGTCTTTGACATTTGGATTATTCCTCTCTTGGGAATTTTGCAATCGTCACTTTGCCTTAGTGGTACAATTCTCAAAGGAAACCTCTATTTTACACTAACTAAAATTCCATTTTGTTCACTAATTATTATTCCTAGAGCAGAAAACAAAGTGTTTGTCCAATTAAGCAATCACTAGCTTTTTTGCCATCGGGTGGAGATAAGGATTTCATCAGCCATAATCTACAGCCGCCTATATAAATGAAACCATTTAAATTTACGACTAGTCCTTTTCTTAATTACTTAAATAATCTATTCTAACAAGTATACAACTTTTAGTATTTAATTACTACAAATTAATATTCAAATTATATACATGGGGGAACGCTTTTTACGGTAAATTATCTGTCTAATCATTTTTTGAAACCATATGCTACGTATATTAATGTTGCAAAGACAAAACATAAACAAAAATGCTGGAGAGGTAGATTGTGATCGATGACGGTATGAGTTCACTACGACTTGAAATGGTTCTTTAAGAATATATGATTGCAATGATATGCGTTTGTGATTCATTCATAAAACATGTTTTCAGTTGCTTAAAAATGCTCATATCGAATAAATCTCAGCTAGGCTTTTTTTGTTTTCTCTGCAGTTTTGATATATTTTGTTCACAATAGAGCTTTGACTCTTTTTTTTTTTTTTTTTTTTTTGTGCAAAGAGTTTTGACTCTTATTCTTACAATCACACATTAAAATTTAATGGGCCCAAGAATGCTGTTTAATGTTTACAAAAGAAAGTAACAAACTTTGTTTTAAAAGCCCAAGCTAAGCAAAAAATATAAAAAAATTAAAGGCCGTGGAATGAAAGGCAGCAAGAATTAAGAAATTTGAAATCTTATATTGAAAAACACCAAATTGGTCTAGAGAGCTGAAAAAGACCGGCTACTCTAATTATTTTAATCTGCTCTCCGGCGGAGACTGCATTCGTTCTGAATTTGAAACCTTAAATAAAAACAAGATTTCAAATTTGAGAAGTCATTAACTACAACAACAAATTATACTCGTAAATAACATCGTTTGTTCGAAATATAACGAATATAAACAATAATAAACTTTTGAACGTCTAACATACATATAAGTTGTTACATCTTTTTGAAATCTTGAAGGAATGAAATAAGTCAAACATGCATAGAAAATATAGAAATTGGAAGATTCTAAAAACAATCATATTCATATTGACCTCAATAAAACACCAAACGTTAAACTACAACATATTTACATGCATGTAACAATCATACTTTGTATTTGTTTACTCAACCAAAACATAGTAAAAAAAAAAAAACACCTCAATGCAATTTCTCTCCTGTCGCTTTATCAAACACCTGCCTTTGCATTGTTATGGGCTTTATGGGCTGTCCACCACAGAATTTGGGTTTCTCGGAATAAAGTTAGCCCGAGCCACCTCTTCCCCATCTTTCTCCTTCGTCAACCCATCCTTAAAACTCCTAAGACAACATTAGTTGATTAATATCGCCATTAGAACACGTAAATACCAAATTCATCTCAAACCTATATATAGTTCCCTTAAGAAAACTCATGTGACTAATTTATTATATGTTGTTGATATAAAAAGAGTTGATACAATATATATAGAGACTAATTTAGGTTTAACCTAATTAGATTAAGAAATAGATAAACATGAATAAGTAAATATTCTAAATCTCTTAATCCTTATCACAATTAGATATCTAAAATATTATTTGACTTCGGCTTCACGGGTTTTATGGGCTCCGAGTTACCTCAATACGTTCTTCTACACTTTATCAATTTAAGCTCTTACATCTACTCACACAACAACTAATTGTTGGCATGTACAACTACTAAAAATGCTATTTCAAATAAAAACATCGTGCCGTTTCACCTACAAGAACTCAAGAAGTAGTTAAAGAGAGTTATTATTATTGATGTTTGTTTACCGGCTATCAATATTATAAAACCCTAAACCCTTTGAGAGATAGTGCATGCTCGAGCTCGCTGTAGGAAACTAACTGGCTTAGTCATGCCTATTCCCACAAAACAAACAGAGGAGAGTCTTTCTTCATGCAAGCAAAGGAACAAGACAGATAAGCTAACTACCTTTTCTCATCATGCACATTCCCAACGAACCAAGAAAGAGACTCTTTAATCAAAGCTAGCTACAGGGGACTTAATGCAAGAAGAAGACCTCTTCAAAGCAGGAACAAGTTCCTTCTTACTACTACTCTCATCAATCAAGCTACCACTAAAATACTCTTTCTCTTCCAAGTTTACCCTTCCAAAACTCCTTAATTCCTTCTCTGCCCTTTCGAGCCTATAATTACCTGTTCTCCATTCCACCCTACTACTCGTGTTCCCATTCCTTAGCGTCGGACCACATTTCTTAAACGACATGGCACCACACGATATCAACTGCATGAGAACAGCCGACGGACGCATCTTCTCAACCGTCCCATTCAATTCTTGATCTTCCGGAAACAATATCAACCGTCCATCTGCTTTCATCAATGATTCCAATGTTTCTGGACTCGTATCTGACTGTGGAGGTGAAGTAATCTCTTCTTTACTCAGCTCAGTGATCTCATTCACTTCATCCACCTCTTTCGCCGGACTTTTCCTCCGCCGACGATCATCAGTCTGTGTTGAAGCGTCCGTCGCGAGTTTACGAGTTGACTCAGTGGACGCTTTGTAGTGATCAATAGAGCTCCAAGACTGGTTACGCCGGTGAGTGACGGCGGAGAAGTTAGATTCTTTACCAGAGTTATTATCAAGGTCAAGAATTTGAGAGCCTTTGAGTACATATTCTTGGCCATGAACGGGAAAAATGAAATCTTCCTCTGATAAATCGTGCCATACGAATCCGTTCTTGTAAGTTCTGAGATTAGAAACAGAGTAAACAAAAATTTGTGAGAAGATCGGACGGTGAGTTACAGATCCGATGATGGAGAATGAGATTTACCGTTTTGAAGACCAAGAGTAGAGAGAAGCCATTGCTTTGCCTCGTAGATCATTCAAACGATTGATCACATCTGAGAAAAATAAAAATCGAAACTTTATGAAATCAAAAACAGAGCAAAACAGAGCAGAACAGAGGAAAAAGATGAGATTTTTACTACCTTTGAGATAGAGACCGTTGTGAGAAGAGAGAGGTACTTCAATGAAGTGTGGGTGATCTAGTTGGCCATTCCGGCTGAGATAATAAACGACGGGGACTTTCCGTTCGCCGGAGGGTTTTGAGTCTAACTGGTGGTGATTCGATCTGGTGGGAACTATAATTAAGTTGTCTTGTGTTGTTCTTGAACTCATCAACGCCATTTTTTATGTTGTTCGGTGTATTTTTGAGCTTTCTTGGTTTGTTCTTCTTGTCAAAGTGAAGAGGAAGTAATCTTGAAGAGTTTGAATGTATGGAGAGAGACACAAAAAGAGAGATTTGAAAAAGAGATAATAAGACTTTTTGTTCTTCTCTTTGGTTTTTTTTTTTTTATTCCGCGAGTAGTCAAAAAAGTGTTTAAGAATTGACTTTATGAGTCCACTATCCACACCTAACTTTGACTACATGTCTAAAACGAGAGCCACGAGTGGAGCCAGCTGCAACATGGAAGGCTTGGCTCAACAAGTCTCTTGGCCTTAGAGCATGATTATAGCTAGTCTCTTAGAAATATCTCTTAGCAATATTTAAGTAATTTATTTGTAAAAGTGATTGTTAAGAGATAGTATTTTTGAGTTAATATTTTTGTGTGATTAATGGTAGGCTCTTAACATGTAGTTCTTAGAAAAAGAAATATTAATATAAAAATAAAATTTATAATTATATAAAATTTAATAATTGTTGCAAATTAAAGAGACATGAATATTATGACATAATTGTTGTAGATTCATTTGGTTACAACACATATGATTCATTTGGTGTTTAAGTTAAAGAGACATGAATATGATCATTTGAGTAAAATAAAAACAGAGTAAAACAAATTTAAAGAGACATGAATATTATGACATGCATCTCCAGATTTCGTCCCTAAAATCTAACAAATGTAGAGAGATACAAAGAAGAGTAGAGATTGTTTTGTATTCATATGTTTTATATAAGCAACGAACAAGCTTTCCCATCAACTCAATCAGACTCTTAGTGAAGTTCTGTCGCTGTAGCTCTGTTTTTTTTTTTTTTTTTTTAGACATAATTTTTTTTTTTTTTTTTTTTTTTTTTTTTTTTTTTTTTAATTAGTTAATATTCATTTAAATCTTCCCATATGGGCTTGGAAAAAGCCTTACAAACTATGACCCAGTTACAAAAAAGCCTAATAAGAAATTTGCCGGAGACAGATTTGAAGGATCGAACCCTGCTGATGGACGACTGCACGGTGGCCGGAGCATTAGATCCGGTGAACCCGCTGTAGCTCTGTTCTCTGCAGTTTTTTTAAGAAACATTGTTAGTACTAAGTAAGTCATGAGACAGTAATTGTTTGGTGAATCGAGAGCAGTTTTTTTGCTTACTTCTTTATCTCATGGTTGTCATTAAGTGTCAATAAGTGGCAGAACGTTTGATTATCACATATATGGTTCAATGTCAATGTTTTACCTCCTACAAGTGTAATGGATCAGACAATTTATGGTTCCTACCATTATATCATCATGCTTTGACGATTTTTTCAATTAATGGTCTTCTATTTTGGTTTCGTTGTCAGAGGATTAAACATTTTTGTTTCGGTTTTTGTTGTAATTGGCCACACAATAATATGGATTGAGATTTAATAAATAGAATATATATATATGGACACGTTTCTGCTCTTTCATGGCTTAACAATTAAGGATTAAAAAAGGGAATTAAAAAAAAACTCCTTTCTTCAGACCTAAATCCCTAGATCTGAAAAATATCTTTCGAACCCTAGTTCTTAACTTATCACCATGGACGAATCCGCCATCAAAGTAATCTTCTTCTCCTTAATTATAGATTCTTTCTTTCACAAGAAAGATGAAAAATATATGTAGTAGAATTTCTGATTAGATCTTTTGTACCTTAGGGTCTGAAATCGCTGAAATTGAACGAAAGTGATGCAAACAGAGGCCCGATTTCCGTTGAGGGATATGCCACTTCCCTTCATGCGTATCCACTTCCCTAGGGCCAAAACATTTCTCTTCATGTGGAAAAGTAAAACATATCTATGTTCCAAGAGACTATGAAAGTGGTACCCTCAAGAGAGTTGCCTTCATGAGGATTGAAGGAGAAAATGCCAATGAGAAAGCATTGGAACTTAGTGGAACTGACGTGGGAGGATGGACTGCTATCGTTAAGGCTGCACCATGGCAGAAAGAAGTCATGGATCCTTGGTGTCCTGCTTCTGCTGCTGCTGCCAGGCCCAAAGAACACAGGTAAATATAATTTCGAATTATTCTTGTGTAAGATGTGTTCTTGTTTTGTTAATAACTTTTTAGTTTAGTGTAAACGTTACTGGATATGACACTTCTCTTCCTGAGATTGATATCGAGATGGCGGTGTGTGAATTTCTCTCTTCATGTGGAGAGGTCGCCCGAATTATGGTTCTCCCTAGGTTTGCGGCCTTCTTTCTTCCTCCCATTTGTGAATTTTTTTTTTTCCAACTCTCAAGTTATTGAATTTCTAACTAAAGACTTTTCTCTGTGTTGAATTTTACAGCCATGCTCGCGTTTCTATTATAGGAGAAGGATGTGTAGACAAGGCGCTACAACTAAGTGGATGTAACGTGGGCGGAATAACCCTTGAAGTTAAACCTGTTGTGCTTGTAAAAATAAACCGCTCCACCGATAAAACTGGCTAGGAAGCCGCACCAATGTTACTGACTTTATGTCCCCAGGTACTTTAATTTGATCTTGCTTTCTTGATTCTTGATTCTTGGTAATAAATTAGAACCTCTCATTAGTTTAGTTGTTTATACTTTATATTAGGTCATAAGAAGAAGATTGAGATGGAGAAGACGAAGAAGATGGAGATGGAGAAGTAGAAGGCTCTCTTTTAGGAGCAGACGAACCTTTTTACTCAAGGATACAAGAATATAGTGTATTAGAGGATATTCTATAACACCTTTTTTACTCATCTACCTCTAAAATGTGTCTCACAAACAGCTAATAATGTCTGCTAAAAAGCACATAATCTTTGTAAAGCTAACTGATCAAGAAGATACATCAAACAAATTTTAGAGTACAAGAGCTATGTACTTTTATTGGCCATTCCATTTCCTCCTATACCATGAGATTTTTATTCTTCTTGGGATGTTTTAACCGGTTTTTATAAAATTGTTGGTAATCGGAGGCGAAGGCACCATAGGAATCACCAATCGAGATCATGCATTCCATCGCCCATAACAGGGAGTCGACTTCCGCATGGAGCGGTGAAAGGCTCCTTCTGACGCTTTTAAGTCCTAGGTGGCAGACTTTATCTTGTCCTACTAGCACCCATCCATGGTAATTTGTTTTACTTTTTTTTTTCCGGTGTTTCCAACTAATAAAAGTTGATTTTTTTTCCTTGTTATCTCTTTTCTTCTTCGTCTACAAAGACCCCTTTCTTTTGCTCGTCTCTCAGGCCTCAGCTGAAACAAACTAATTCGGTTTAACTGAAATCATATTGAATTCGGTTGGTTTGGTTTTATTTATTCAGTTATTATTTGTTTTCCTACATGAACAGCCCGTCTCAATTCATGATGCGGCCATATGGCAAAACATTTTTAAGAAAAAAAATTAGTTGGAAAAATTGGTTTTTTTAACCTTAATAATTTTTTAAAAACTAATTATGGACCCTTGAAATTTTCCTTACTACCTCCAAAAGATGGCCATACGTGAACCACCCCTATAACTCGGAAGTACCATTAATTGAAGAAACAGAGGAACCGTTTTTGTGCAAGCAACGAAATCTAAAAACATATTCTATCTTTAATGGTGGGCGTTCCGTTTAGGGATGTAGAACCCGTTTGACATTTAAAATTTGAACACCACAGAGTCAACAAAGTTTTTGACATTTAAAACGAATTCTTGTTAAAAATGTAGATTCAAAAATTACAATTATAAATTTTACGTTTTCAAAACAATAGTAATTACAGAATCTGACCAGAACCAAGAAAAGCCCAATAACTAATGTAAATAAAGCCATAACGATCATAATTAGTTTCATCCAATGCTTTTGTTATTAAAAGCCCACGTAAATGAAAGCAACTTATCCCACATCGGTTGTGAAAATAAAAAGGGACTCAAAATTTGGTTATAAATAGTTAGATATGCTTAATGTTGAACATATATTTTACCACCATCCCTATGTTGAAAGCGGTAACAATCTCGATGAAAGAGAGGATGTAGACGCTCAACTGATATAGGAAGCAATTGTTTTGATTATTGCATCCTTCACCTTGTTGAGCATCTATACCCACTCTTTCATTCGAAATTGTTACCGCCCTCAGCCTTTGGATATTTCTGCAAATTCCTCTCTTCTATTCAGTTGGAAGGAGTGGAAATTAATAAAACCAAACCAGGTTGGGCTTTCTTTAACCGGAAATGACCAATGTAATTTGAACCGAACCAAAGAAATGTTGTTATCTCTTTCTTTTCTCTCACTCGGCTGAAGAAGAAAAGAGATGCGAGCGATTCATATGCGATTGAGCTCGAGCTTTAGGCCTATTCTTCTTCTTGACTTCGTTGTTTCTTGTTCGCCTCCTCGTCGCCAGTTCTCTATTCCTAGGCGCCTAATCTGTGCCGCCGCCAATGGAGGAGGCAGGTCAGGTTCGATTGTGGCGGCTCCGTTGGTTGTGACTGAAGAAGACTTTCAGAAGAAGATCGATGTCAATCCTCCTAAAGGAACTCGTGATTTCCCTCCTGAGGATATGCGACTCCGCAATTGGCTCTTCAACCACTTCAAAGAGGTCATATATGAACTCACTCTAATTCTTGTTTTGTTTCTGCAATTTTTTTCCCAGACCTTTTTTTACTAACGGGTTTCTGCAAATTCTTCTTTTGGTTCGGTTTGTTGACTCTGTGGTTCGGTTTCCCAGACCTTCCAAGAGAAACTTTTGTCTCTTTACTTTGCTTTGAAGGACCGGTCCAAAGTTTCAAAATTTTCTTTGATACCCTACGCATAACTAAAAATTTAGGCTTTTTTGTTAATGTAAAAAAAAAAATTCTCCCAAAAAAAATATTTTATAATGTGAGACCCTAAGCGATGGCTTCACTTGCTTGTCCTCCGGACCGGCTCTGCTCACGGTTATATGGGGTGTTTAAAGTTTGACACTTAAAAAAAAAAAAAAGTTTGACACTTTTTGTCTGTTTACTTTGTTTTGAAGGTCTCACGGTTATATGGGTTTGAGGAAGTGGATTATCCAGTACTGGAGACGGAGGCATTGTTCATCAGAAAAGCAGGGAAGAGATTAGAATTGTTCACATCCACTTTTATTCCTAGTACGTTTGTGCTATGGCTTCATATCGAGGGACTGGATAGTCCGTATTACTCATGTGTATAGGGAGGCTAATCGTCTTGCGGACGGATTAGCGAACTATGCGTTTTCATTACCGCTAGGTTTTCATTCTTTTGATTCGAGTCCTGATGTTGTTAGTCGGATTGGTTTAGATGATATGGTCGGGACTGCGATCCCACGAGACGTTCGTTTGTAATTTGTTTCGGTTTAATTTAATAAATAGGGGGAGGCTTGCCTCCCCTCTTCTCACCAAAAAAAAAGATGGCCATACGTGAACCACCCCTATAACTCGGAAGTACCATTAATTGAAGAAACAGAGGAACCGTTTTTGTGCAAGCAACGAAATCTAAAAACATATTCTATCTTTAATGGTGGGCGTTCCGTTTAGGGATGTAGAACCCGTTTGACATTTAAAGTTTTTGGATCGGGTTCAGGTCGATATCTTTCGGGTTTGGTTCAGTTTAGATTATGCGAAATATAAATAATAATGTTGTAAGGAGATGGAACGTAATATTATATATATATATATATATATATTACGATGGTAGATATACATTTTTATAAATTATATGTACAGTTTTAAACAATCAAGAAAAAAACGAATTCTTGTTAAAAATGTAGATTCAAAAATTACAATTATAAATTTTACGTTTTCAAAACAATAGTAATTACAGTATTTGACCAGGTCCAATAAAAGCTCAATAACTAATGTAAATAAAATCATAACGATCATAATTAGCTTCATCCAATGCTTTTGTTATTAAAAGCCCACGTAAATGAAAGCAACTTATCCCACATCGGTTGTGAAAATAAAAAGAAACTCAAGATTTGGTTATAAATAGTTAGATATGCTTAGTGTTGAACATATATTTTACCACCATCCCTATGTTGAAAGCGGTAACAATCTCGATGAAAGAGAGGATGTAGACGCTCAACTGCTATAGGAAGCAATTGTTTTGATTATTGCATCCTTCACCTTGTTGAGCATCTATACCCACTCTTTCGTTCAAGGTTATTACTGCCTTCAGCCTTTGGATATTTCTGCAAATTCCTCTCTTCTATTCAGTTGGAAGGAGATGGCGGCGGTGTGTGAATTTCTCTCTTCATGTGGAGAGGTCGCCCGAGTTATGGTTCTCCCTAGTTGTGCTCGCATTTCTCTTTTAGGAGAAGGATGTATAGAGAAGGCGATAAAACTAAGTGGATGTAACGTGGGAGGAATGAGTCTTGTAGTTAGTCTTGTTGTGCTGGTAAAAAGAAACCGCTCCACCAATAAAACTGGCTATATGACCCTAGGAAGCCGCACCAATGTTACTGACTTCATGACCCCAAGTACTTAAATTTGCTTTTGCTTTCTTGATTCTTGATTCTTGGTAATAAATTAGAACCTCTCATTAGTTTTAGTTGTTTATACTTTATGTTAGGTCATAAGAAGAAGATTGAGATGGAGAAGAAGAAGAAGATGGAGATGGAGATGGAGAAGTAGAAGGCTCTCTCTTAGGAGAAGACAAACCTTTTTACTCAAGGATACAAGAATATAGTGTATTAGAGGATATTTTATAACACCTTTATTATTCATCTACCTCTAATATATGTCTCACAAACAGCTAATAATGTCTGCTAAAGAGCACATAATCTTTGTAAAGCTAACTGATCAAGAAGATACATCAAACAAATTTTAGAGTCCAAGAGATATGTACAACTTTTATTGGCCATTCCATTTCCTCCTTGAGCTTTTAATACTTCTTGGGATGTTTTAACCGGTTTTTTATAAAAATGTTGGTAATTTGTTTTAGTTTTTTTTTTCCGGTGTTTCCAACTAATAAAAGTTGATTTTTTTCCTTGTTATCTCTTTTCTTCTTCGTCTACGAAGACCCCTTTCTTTTGCTCGTCTCTCAGGCCTCAGCTGAAACAAACTAATTAATTCGGTTTAACTGAAATCAGATTGAATTCAGTTGGTTTGGTTTGATTTATTCGGTTATTATTTGTTTTCCTACATGAACAGCCCATCTCAATTTATGATACGGCCCATGGCAAAACATTTTTAAGAAAAAAAATTAGTTGGAAAAATTGGTTTTTTAACCTTAATAATTTTTTAAAAACTAATTATGGACCCTTGAAATTTTCCTTACTACCTCCAAAAGATGGCCATACGTGAACCACCCCTATAACTCGGAAGTACCATTAATTGAAGAAACAGAAGAACCGTTTTTGTGCAAGCAACGAAATCTAACATATTCTATCTTTAATGGTGGGCGTTCGGTTTAGGGATGTAGAACCCGTTTGGCATTTTGGATCGGGCTCAGGTCGATATCTTTCGGGTTTGGTTCAGTTTAGATTATGCGAAATATAAATAATAATATTGTAAGGAGATGGAACGTATATATATATATATATATATTATGATGGTAGATATACATTTTTATAAATTATATGTACAGTTTTAAACAATCAATAAAAAAAAAACGAATTCTTGTTAAAAATGTAGATTCAAAAATTACAATTATAAATTTTACGTTTTCAAAACAATAGTAATTACAGAATTTGACCATATCCAATAAAAGCCCAATAACTAATGTAAATAAAGCCATAACGATCATAATTAGCTTCATCCAATGCTTTGTTATTAAAAGCCCAGGTAAATGAAAGCAACTTATCCCACATCGGTTGTGAAAATAAAAAGGAACTCAAGATTTGGTTATAAATAGTTAGATATGCTTAGTGTTGAACATATATTTTACCACCATCCCTATGTTGAAAGCGGTAACAATCTCGATGAAAGAGAGGATGTAGACGTTCAACTGATATAGGAAGCAATTGTTTTGATTATTGCATCCTTCACCTTGTTGAGCATCTATACCCACTCTTTCGTTCAAGGTTGTTACTGCCTTCAGCCTTTGGATATTTCTGCAAATTCCTCTCTTCTATTCAGTTGGAAGGAGATGGCGGTGTGTGAATTTCTCTCTTCATGTGGAGAGGTCGCCCGAGTTATGGTTCTCCCTAGCTGTGCTCGCGTTTCTCTTTTAGGAGAAGGCGATAAAACTAAGTGGATGTAACGTGGGAGGAATGAGTCTTGTAATTAGTCATATTGTGCTGGTAAAAAGAAACCGGTCCACCAATAAAACTGACTATATGCCCCCAGGAAGCCGCACCAATGTTACTGACTTTATGACCCCAAGTAATTAAATTTGCTCTTGCTCTCTTGATTCTTGATTCTTGGTAATAAATTAGAACCTCTCATTAGTTTAGTTGTTTATACTTTATTTTTTATTTTTTTTGATAACTCAGGTGATCCTAAAGGCTTTATAGGCCCAAAGACTAATCCTGGGGCCCAGAAAACCATGTTAAAATTCGAACCCCGGTGGCTAATGCTATTCGAACCCAGGTGGCGGAGACTTTTCTCTCCTTTACCACTGGACCAAGGCGACTTGGTTAGTTGTTTATACTTTATATTAGGAGAAGACGAACCTTTTTCCTCAAGGATACAAGAAATCAAGAATATAGTGTATTAGATGATTCGATTCTATAACACCTTTTTTACTCATCTACCTCTAAAATGTGTCTCACAAACAGCTAATAATGTCTGCTAAAAGCACATAATCGCAGTAAAGCTAACTGATCAAGAAGATACATCAAACAAATTTTAGAGTACAAGAGATAGTATTTTTATTGGCCAGTCCATTTCCTTCTATACCTTGAGCTTCTAATTCTTTTTTAGATGTTTTAACCGGTTTTTATAACCGGTTAGTAATTTGGTTTAGCTTTTTTCGGTGGTTCCCACTAATAAAAGTGGATTAATTTTTTCTTTTCTTCTTTGTCCACGAAGACCCCTTTCTTTTTGAGTTTTTTACCCGTCTCTCAGGCCTCAACTGAAGCAAACCAATTCGGTTTAACTGAAATCAGATCGAATTCGGTTGGTTTGGTTTGATTTATTCGTTTATTATTTATTTTCCTACGGCCCGTCTCAATTCATGATGGGCTCATGGCGAAACTTTAAAAATAAAAAAAAAATAGTTGAAAAATTTGGTCTTTTTAGCCTTAATAAATTTTTTAAACTGATTATGATCTCTTGGCATTTGCTTTACCATCTTCAAAAGATGGTTCTACGTAAACCACCCCTATAACTCCTAATATTAGTTGAAGAAACAGAGGAACTGTTTTTGTGCAAGCAACGACATCTGACATATTTTATCTTTAACTAAGGGTGGGCGTTCGGGTTTTGGGATGTAAAACCCGTTTGGCATTTTAAATTTTTGGGTCGGGTTCGGAACGATATTTTTCGGGTTTGATTCGGTTTAGATTATCCGAAATAGAAATTATAAATAATAATATTATTGTAAGGAGATGGTATATATATGACGATGGTAAATATACATTGTTATTAATTATAAGTAAAATATAAAACAATCGAGAAAAACGAATTCTTGTTAAAAAAGTAGACTATGTTTTCAAAATAATAATAAATACAGAATTTAACTCTGTCCAATAAAAGCCCAATAACTAATGTAAATAAAGCCATAACGATCATAATTAGCTTTATCAAATGCTTTTGTTATTAAAAGCCCACGTGAATGAAAGCAGCTTATCCCACATCGGTTGTAAAAGCAAAAGTGGACTCAAGATTTGGTTATAAATAGTTAGATATGCTTAGAGCATCAGCAGTGGCAAATGTGTTTATGTGGGTATGAGTATTTTTTTATTATTATAATTTAAAGCAAAAGAGAAAAGAGAGAGAGAAAGAAAGAGAGAGAGAAAGAGTGTTACACCCGAGTGTAAAGTTACACCCGGGTGAGAAGAGAGAGACAACATTTCAATTATTTTTCTTTTGTTTATTACTCACACTCGGCCATTGAGTGCGCCAATGTGTATGGCCTTAGTGGTGAATATATATCTAATCATCATTCCTATGCTGAAAGCGGCAACAATCTCGATGAAAGAGAGGATGTAGACGCTCAACCGCTATAGGAAGCAATTGTTTTGATTATTGCCTCCTTCCCCTTGTTGAGCGTCTATACCCACTCTTTCGTTCGAGATTGTTACCGCCCTCGGCCTTTGGATATTTCTGCAAATTCCTCTCTTCTATTCAGTTGGAAGGAGTGGAAATTAATAAAACCAAACCAGGTTGAGCTTTCTTTAACCGGAAATGACCAATGTATTGAACCGAACCAAAAGAAATGTTGTTCTCTCTTTCTTTTGCTTGTTCTCTATCTCTCTCACTCAGCTGAAGAAGAAAAAAGATGCGAGCGATTCATATGCGATTGAGCTCGAGCTTTAGGCCTATTCTTCTTCTTGACTTCGTTGTTTCTTGTTCGCCTCCTCCTCGCCAGTTCTCTATCCCTAGGCGCCTAATCTGTGCCGCCGCCAATGGAGGAGGCAGGTCAGGTTCGATTGTGGCGGCTCCGTTGGTTGTGACTGAAGAAGACTTTCAGAAGAAGATCGATGTCAATCCTCCTAAAGGAACTCGTGATTTCCCTCCTGAGGATATGCGACTCCGCAATTGGCTCTTCAACCACTTCAAAGAGGTCATATATGAACTCTACTTGTTCTTTTTGTTTCTGCAAATTTTTCTTTTGGTTAGATTTGTTCACTCTGTGTTGTTCAAAGTTTGAAACTTTTATCTCTTTACTTTGCTTTGAAGGACTCACGGTTATATGGGTGTGTTCAAAGTTTGACACTTTTTGTCTGTTTACGTTGCTTTGAAGGTCTCACGGTTATATGGGTTTGAGGAAGTGGATTATCCAGTACTGGAGACGGAGGCATTGTTCATCAGAAAAGCAGGGGAAGAGATTAGAGACCAAGTTAGTTTTTTTTGACATTTCGATTTCATTCTTTGGATCTTTATCTGCAGTTTATGTAGAATTGTTTGAGGAATTTAGCTTGAACTCTTGCAACCTTGTTATGTAGCTGTACTGCTTTGAAGATAGGGGAAATCGGCGTGTAGCGTTGAGGCCTGAGCTTACACCTTCTTTAGCAAGGCTTGTCATACAGAAAGGGTAATAAACCCAGCTTTGAATATTTTCTCATCTTCGAAGGACGATTTATTTATATATTTTGCTTGTAAAACTCTTGTATCCAGGTATGGATGTGAGATTGTTGGTTGATTCCCATATTCTTTTTGGTCCAGAAAATCTGTTTCCCTTCCATTGAAGTGGTTTGCTGTTGGGCAGTGTTGGCGATATGAGAGAATGACTAGAGTAAGGCGACGTGAGCATTACCAGTGGAATATGGATATTATTGGTGTGCCTCAAGTAACTGTATGTATATCTCTCAAGTCATAACTTCAAGGCCTTCGAGTTTCTTGCTATAGTAATCTCACCTGTGTTTGCTTTTTAAGTCTCTAGAAGTCATGCCGCTAATTTGGATTGTCAAACCTTTTCTTTTAGGCTGAAGCGGAACTAATTTCATCTATAGTCACCTTCTTCAAGCGAATTGGAATCACTGCATCAGATGTGGGTTTTAAGGTTTCAAGCCGCAAGGTATTTTTGCTTATTATCTCTTTTCATGTCGATTACATGATCATCTTGTTTCTTAGTTTTCCCTCAAGATACAGAACCAAGGAATTTACTTGCAATGTGCAGACAAGGTTAGCAGTCTAAACATCAATATTCTACTGCTTTGAAATCAAGGCTACTTCATCTACTGATATCAATAAATACTCCAGCTTTGCGAATGTTTCTGCTATTGCTAACTTTGTTACCCTATTTTTTTATGTTGCATGCTAAATAGATAGAAAATATTCCAATTGATGAAATAAAAAAGGAACTTGGGTTCACGGGAATGTCAGAAGATGCTATTGAACAGTTACTGCAAGTGCTTTCTGTGAAGTCATTGGATGATTTGGAAGGTATGTCCTTGCATTATTTCTAGTGAGTCTCTTTCTCCGAAAATTGATGCTGATAAGAACCTCTAATTTGTATAAGCAGATATACTTGGTGGAGCAGGAGAAGCCATTGCAGATTTGAAACAACTCTTCTCACTTGCTGAAAAGTTTGGTTATTCAGAGTGGATACAGTTTGATGCATCTGTTGTGCGCGGTCTTGCTTATTACACTGGTATCGTCTTCGAGGTTAGATTTTATGACATACATAATCTTCTCCATACATGGATACTTGTCTATAGTTTTGTGATAACAACTGATATTATGACAGGGATTTGATCGAAAAGGGAAGCTGCGAGCTATATGTGGTGGTGGGAGATATGACAGATTACTCTCTACTTATGGAGGTGATGACATTGCTGCTTGTGGTTTTGGTTTCGGCGATGCTGTAATTTTTGAAGTAAGTTAAACCTGCTGGTCACTATTATTACCCGCAGTGAAAAGTTGTGTGTCTCTGAATATCTGGTTCTTATTTCTCCCACTTTCATTTAGTTGCTCAAGGAGAAGGATTTGTTACCAGAACTGGGACAAGAAGTAGAGAACATAGTGTGTGCTTTGGACAAAGATCTCCAAGAAGCTGCAGCCACCGTAGCAACCGCTCTCAGAGACAAAGGCCAAACCGTTGATTTGGTATTGGAGAATAAACCGCTGAAATGGGTGTTCAAGAGGGCAGCTCGGGTAAACGCAAGAAGGCTGGGAAGATGGTTCGGTCAGTGTGAAGGTGTTGTCTTCAGGTGAGCAGTTCCAAGTCAAACTCAGTGACTTAGAGTAGTATCTAAAGGCTTTTATTAACATGAACCATTGTTTCATTCTCCTTACTCCTTACTATAGTAAAAGAAGCAATAATCATTCAAATCTCTTAATCATCAAAGTATTGAATTATTGATTTGGGATTCGATTTATGGATCGAATATAATTTGAGTAACCATGTTTAAAAAGCTAAGTAATCTTATTATATTATCAGGTATAAGAATAAGATGCTTGTAGAACTCTTAATTAGGTGTAGTAAACTTCAACAACCAAGTGTTTATATTAATGATCTTGTATTAGATATTATGCTTTATACATGCTTGCTCTACTGGATGATGAATATGAGAGAAATTTTAGTGGATAAATAACTTGTGGAGATATATGTTTGTGTGTTCAAAGAAGAAACCGCGTGAAAATGTATCAAAAATGTCGCATCACGTAGCACTCTCTCCTTTTCTTATTTTCTTCTGTTTTGCTTCTAAACATTTCTCTCTAGTTTCCGTACAATGATACTAGATATATGATGAATAATATATGATGAGAAAATATATTATTAGTAGATACTAGATAAGTTTAACGAATAAATATTTGACTATCCAACAAAGAAAAATTCTAGATGTATCTAGACTGTGTATGGATAAGTTAAGTTAGCAAGTATATTCATTTGCTCAATCCATACAGAGATTTAAAGTTCAACAAAAAAAACAAAAATCTAGAAGGCGGCTTAGAATGCATGAACCGACGTCAAAAAAAAAAAAAAATGCACGAACCAGTTTTTAATAACTTCGACGACCATCGACCAATAAGAAAAAAGATAATAAAAGTTAATTAAATAACTTGTTCTAGTAGTCTTGAAATATTGTATTTTGTGGAGGAAAGCACCAAGAACATTCCTTTTCTATTAACTAACGTATAACGACTGAATCCATTTTTCTTAGTCTCCCAAGTGTTTACGCGTCACGCAACGCAACCAGTGACGCGGTGACGCTAATAATCCTATTCCTTATGCAGCAAGTCACAATGGGTATTTTCGTCAATTAATATTTACTAAACCATTTTCTTGTATAAATAGGAGAGTATACTCATCGCAATATACCGCAAACCTAGAAGTCACTAAGTCAATTCAAAATGGTTGCGAGAAGTGAGGTAATTGAGATAGTGGAAGATACGGCGGCGAAATGTTTGATGTTGTTATCAAGAGTTGGAGAATGCGGCGGTTACGGAGGAGGAGAGAAACGTGTTTTCCGATGCAAGACTTGTCTTAAAGAGTTCTCATCGTTTCAAGCTTTAGGAGGTCATCGTGCAAGTCACAAGAAACTCATTAACAGTCACGATATATCACTTCTTGGATCATTGTCTAACAAGAAGACTAAAACGATGACGTCGCATCCTTGTCCGATATGTGGCGTGGAGTTTCCGATGGGACAAGCTCTTGGTGGTCACATGAGGAGACATAGGAACGAGAAAGGTTCCGGTACGTTGGTTACACGTTCTTTTTTACCGGAGACGACGACTACGGTGACGACTTTGAAGAAATGGAGTAGTGGGAAGAGAGTGGCTTGTTTGGATTTGGACTTGGATTCGATGGAGAGTTTGGTCAATTGGAAGTTGGAGTTGGGAAGAACGATTTCTTGATTCGTTTTCTTGCTTTATGTTTTTAGTTTTATAGATAAAACATACAGTTTCACATGGTTTTGTAATCTTTGTTGATCCATTTATATATCTTACCGATCGATGTGTATATTATTTTGATATATACTATCGGAGTTTACTTTCACTGTACGCTAATTTTCTTGTTTTCTTTTAATTAGCCCTTGAAGGTTGATCTATGAATGGTTTAAGTAGTGTTGAAACTATAATATTAGTGTGGTCAACTAGAACAACAAGAACTCATTGAACTTAGTTAATCTTCAAGTTTGGATCATTCTAATAAGTAGTTATGATTCCTAAATGTTCTCAAGGATTTTCTTTTACAGTTTTTTGGCTCCCGTTATCTTAAGGTTATAGACTAATATTAAAAATATTACCAATTATCCAAATCTGTAATCGTCAAACTACAGATTGAATCATTGCATTGAGATTCCAATAATGGGTCGAATATAAATTAATGAAGTTTAAAGTTGAACCGTCAAACTAGCACAGATAAATAATAATCAGTTAATATATACAAATTTTTATATTAATTATACATATATTAATCTTATATGGAGGTTATGCTAATTGCTAAATTAACATACTTAATTATCTCTATTGCTTATCTACTGGGAGATGAATATGAGAGACAAAACTTTGTGGATAAAAACCTGTGAAGAGATGTGGTAAGAAGAAACCGCGTGGAAGTGTATCAAAAATGTCGCATCAAATCACTCTCTTATTTTCTTATTTTCTTCTGCATTGCTTCTAAACGTACGTTTCTCTCTAGTTTCCGTACAACCACTCTTTGCACACTTTATTCGTTCCCTTCTCGGTGACTCGTGCTAGCCACACATCTCTACTTGTCCCTCATGTACGTTACTGTGAGAAAATCTTAGAATGATAATTAGACGATAATCTGAATAATATGAGGAAGATTATAAGGTGTGTGGACATGTAATCTAGAATTGGACATAGATTAGGATTATTTGTATCCAAACAAATTTTGAACGAATGATAATACATGGATAAAATGTACCTAGTTATTGATACTAAATTTAATCGGTCGATCTTCTATAAGATATAAACATGCCACTCAAGTCTTGAGTTCTATTGATAATATATTGTGAATAACAAGACGTAGGTCAGAAGATTTCTATGTATACTTTTTCACACACAAATAAAAACAAAGATTTCATGAGTATATAAAAATGAATAAATATGTAATTACTAGTAAATGAGTTCAATGGGATTGTCGACAAAAAGGAGTTTAACATATATTTTTTTTGGTGAATCACCGGGAGTTTAACTCCCGGATATTATTATTAAAAAATAGAGAAAAATTACAAAATAATTTGTCTCGGCCTCGGTGGCCCAAAAACATCATCCCGTATAAGCTCATCTAAACACGGGGGTACAGAAGGAAACAAATGAAAACCTAAAGGCAATGAAAATGCATAGTTTGCTAACCCATCCGCGAGGCGGTTAGTTTCTCTATACACATGTGAAATTCGGACGCGACTAGCCAGTCATTTGATAAGAAGTCATAGCACAAACGCACTAGGAAGGACAAGGGATGTGAATCTCCAATCCCTGTCGTAAGAAACTCCACCACCATCTCAGAGTCCACCTCCAACTCCAGTCTTGTGATTCGCTGCCCCCAAGCTATGTAGAGTCCGTAATATACTCCCCATAACTCCGCCAAGGGCGCCGAACACCTGCCAATATTCAGCGCGAAGCCTCCGCACCACTCTCCCGCTTCATTCCGTAATACTCCCCCAGCTGTAGCTATTCCCGGATTGCCATGTGACGCGCCATCAGTGTTTGATTTGAACCATCCCGTCGGCGGAGTCACCCATTTGATCATCTTCTCAACCCGAACAGCCTTAGGTACTCCGTTACCATTCAAGATTTAGGCCGCCATTACCTCTCTCGCCAACTCCTTGATGAACCGTACCAATTTCCTTCCAAACCTGATTCTCACCAAAAATGTTCCCACATCTCCATTTCCAGCCCCACCAAACCGCCATTGCGAACATCGTTGGCCATGATTCTCCATCCTCTCCTCCTCCGCCACCTAGATTCACATACAACCATTCAATTAAAGACATAGAAAAAAAATTATGTCTTCTCCTCAATGGTACGATGCGTATCCAAATTCCTGCCATAGCCGGACAGTCACGGAGCACATGAATGATGGACTCCACACCATTCTTACAAATCTGACAAATCTCTGTGTCGCACAAATGCCTCCTGAATCTCTCCTCATTAGTCATAACCACTTGTTTACCAACCAGCCACAAGAAAACCCGTACTCTTTCTGGTGCAATTACTTTCCACAAACGGTCATAGAACTTATCCATGTGTTTTCTTGGATATTCATCTCTTGTTATCAACTCATAAGCTGATTTAATAGTAAACTTCCCATCAGTCGTCACTGCCCATGAGAGTCTATCTTTAGCTCATGTCACCGTATCCAAAACAACCGCAGCAAGCTCCAGGCGTCTATTCTCTGATATATAAGGCATTATTTATAAAAAGAGTTTAATATATAAACTGAACATACTATCCAACCAAAAAAAGTTAAAGATGTATGTTTTTTTTTTCTCCTTGGTGATAATGAATATGGATATTTAATCTATACTATATAAAAGTCGAAGCCATAAGCCTCTCAGACCGTCCACCTAGGATTTTAAACCACCAATCGTAATTAGACATATCATTAATTAGCATTTTTAGATTTTTGAAATTGTCTATATTAAAATTTAAGTAAAAAGGAAAATAAAAACAATGATGTGGTTAAAAAAGAATTTTAACTTTTTCAAAAATGAAGACAATTTTCTATATTAAAAGTTTTGTAAAAAAGGAAAAAAAAACAACATATGGAATAATTAACATTTTTAATTCAGATTAAATAACATCTATAAATTATAAATATTTTCTATAACATTTTTAATCGCTAATTAACATTTTTACCCATCACCTCAATTGACATTTTCAAATTCTCATATTTTCTATATTGAAATACTTGTGAAAAGGAAAGCGATAATATAGGAATCTTAAATTTAAGAGAAGTTTTTGTTACAATAAATATTTGTAAAAAAGAAAGAAACGCATAAAATGTTAAAATAGTTTAGTAGATTTAAATCACTTAATGTATGTGTATATATTAATTTGATGGCATGAGAATCAAGAAAGTAGCGTAAAATGTAAAACTTCCAATGTTCCTTAGTGAAAAATGTAAAATATACACATCTTCCCGATTTATTTTCCAAAAATGTTAATTTTGTGATGAGAATACATGTATATAAGCATAATCTCTACCGGAGAAGAATAAGAAAAAGACACAAAACAAAGTTAAAAAAAGAAGAAATATTGGTGTGGTGAAGTCAAAGAGCAATATGCATATTAGTTACCCTTTAACCTTCGTGATTGTTCTTCTGAACTCCATCTCGGCTATTATGGTGCTCTGCTTCTGCGCCAAACTATGTGTCAAATGTTGTGTCCGCGAGGAATAGTTGTCTGCTACAGCTAATGCGTGATCAACTATTAAGATAAGTTAGATTTTGGTTGGCTTTTTTATTATTTTAAGATGAGTTAAGTTTTAGATTGGTAACCTAAAACATAGCAGACCGATACTGCGGTTGATCGTACCATCAAGAGAGCAGCAGGTTCAACATTCATAATAATATTGTCGATTCTGTCATCGAAGAAGAGCCAATCGTAAAACAGAGCGAGCTTAGCACTTTGTTCGGTGTGATGATTTTGCCTACACAGTTCCAGAAACCTACCTATAGGCTATAGTTACCCATCTTGGCATGATCTCTTATCGGATGATTTCGTTAGTTGGGTGAACTACACAGCAAATGAATCGGACTATGTCGATCAAAAGTGTTTGTTTTTCAAGACCAGATTGAAATTTCTTCAAGAACCATATTTGATGCCGTTTCTGGCTTCCCAATCTAACATCTCAGGAGTGATCCAGAGAAAGACGTACCTACTTGAAGTCTTTAACCGATAAAACTGCGAAGTGTCAGAGTAATGGTTTGAGACCTTATCGTTCCATATGTCTTCAAATTCAGAGATGTAAACTAGGTCCTGCAACAACCGGACAAGATCTCTTCCAATTTTCAAACTCAAGTGCAGTTGCTCTCTAAACATTCTGACACAGAATTTGATCTCCAGTCTCTTCACATGTTCCAGTTTCGCAATGCCTGAGACACTACAAGGATCGGCTAATAAATGAAGAAAACTGTACATGGCTAAGATATTTAGATTTAAAAATTACTATTAGTCTCATTAAATTTGAATAGGTTAATCAATCAAAAGATAGGTGAAAAGTTCAAAAAAAGTATTTAATCAAGAGGTACCTAACATGTTTACGTCTATTCAATTTTTTCATTTCATTTAAATATCGATTGATTTTTATGGTTTAAGTTTGATATTCGGATATTATATTATTTTAATCACTAAATATTGAATTGTTTTAAAAATGAGTAAAAATAATTGAGTTAGTTAATTGGTAAAATAGGAAAAAAAAATACTGGTAAAACTGTATATGTAATGTCTAGGTTTATGATAATAATACTTTATTGAAACAAACAAAAAATAATATTTCTTATCTTAATAGTGATAGAATTTGTTGATTTTAACTAACATGTTACAACTATATATAACAATGATTTTTTTTTTATGATGTCAAATAAGCATGTCAATGGTTGTAGTTAAAGATCTTACATATTTGTTTTTCAAGTTAGGAGAGCTGGGGAAATCTAATTTCTTAAAGTTGTTCGAAGAAAAGAAAGAACATCTTATCACTTTGTTTTACACAAACAAAATATTTTTATTAGAAAACATATCTGATTATTTTTATTGTGTAAGATAATGTAGTAAAAATAAAAGAAAAAAGATGTGAAAAAGCATGTCGATGGTTGTATTTAAAAATCTTATAAATTTGATTTCCAAGTTGGGAGAGGTCTGGAAAGCTATTTCTAAGTTCTTAAAAACTGTTCAAACAAAAGAATGAACAATTTATCAATTTGTGCCAACTAAATGTTAGAAAACATATTGAAAATATTTTAATTGTGTAAGATAATGTAATAAGAAATAAAATAAGATGTGACAAGAACTTGATGATGTATTTATAAATTCTTACAAATTTGTTTTCTAAGTTGGTAGAGCTAGGGAAAGCTAAGTTCTTAAAGTTTTCTTAAAGTTTTTCGAACAAAAATAAACAACATTTTATCACGGTGTGCCACTTAAACAAAAGATTTTTGTTAGAAAACATAATATATTGAAAAGATTTATTGTTTAAGATAATATAATAAAAAATAAATTAAACAAATTTTATTTTTGCAATAACAAAAAAATGAAAGATAATATTATAGGAACTATCATTAGTAGTATATGATTTTCGCCAAAATATTTAAAATAAATGCAAAAAGTTTGAAATATATTACTCTAAATCTGTTTGATTAATAACAAAAAAATACTAATAGATAAGAACGAACAAAAGTATGCCCTAACGTGTACATATTTTGGTTGTTTAATTTCAAATATTTTGTCAAAATAATGTATATTAATCAATCAAGAAGTAGTAGGCTAAGAAAAACAAAAAGAGTATAACATATGTAAGACTTTAACTAATATGTGTGGAGGAGGTTCTCGAAGAAATTAAAAAGATACTAATAAACAGTATAAAGTTGTTCGACGATATTATTTTTATAAATTTTTATAAAAATTTTAAGTTGTTCGAATAACTTAAAGATCTTACATATTTTATACTGTTTTTATAAAATATGTAAGAAACACATATTAAAAGACACTAATAAACAGTATAAAAAAAATATAAAATTGTTTGAAGAAATTATGTGTTTTATATGATGTGCCTTCAAAGACTATATTAGTATCAATAGAAGGTAATTAACTAAAATAAGTAGAAAAAATAATAATTTATAATATAAAAAATTAATGATAATTTTTAATCAATATATATTTTAGATTTACGTTATGGTTTTCTTAATGGTGTATTTGAAATATAAATTTTGCTCGAAAGTAATCAAAAAATATTTAGTGATGAAAACGCTATAATACATCAGATTTCTAATATTATACCAACTTTGTCCTAAAGAATTTATTTTCTTATTAAAACAAATTTTTAAACAACATAAATGATTCTAAGAATATAAAGAAAAAATAATTATGTTAAAAAGAATAAAAAATAAAAGATTATAGTACTTTGTATTACTATATGTCAATATATAGCTACTAAAATAATTACTAAACCTAAAATTATATTAAAACAATAGATACAAACAAACTCCTGCTACGCAGGGGTTAATAACCTAGTTTATTAGGAAAAATTATTCATATGAATATGAATATGAATATAAACATATACTTTTTTCCTTGGGGTAAGGATATTTATTAGGAATATGGATAATGAATATCCAACCAAGTAGATTTTCCCAATCAATCAAGAAAAATTTTAACTTTTTTTTTTTTTGAAACAAGAAAAATTTAAGTTTTAAGAAAAAATAAACCTAAAAACTGGCTTAGGAACACGAATCCGAAGAGAATGTGTTGGAGAGAGTAAAATATTTATTAGGCAATTATGTATAATAATAATAATTAAAACTTGTTTTTTCAGATAAAATAATTAACACTTGTTTATAGTATTTCAATATTTAATTAGTGGAGGAAAGCAACAAGAATATTCCTTTTCTTCACAAATGAATATTTTCATTTTTCCGAGTCTTAAGTGTTTAAGCGGTGACTCTGATTCTCTATTCCTTTACACCGCAGCTTCCCACTTAATACAATTCTCACTAACTTACGCAGCAAGTTACAAGAGGGTATTTTCGTCAATTAACGTCTTTAACTCTATCCAATTTTTTCCTATATATATAACAGAAAGTGAGTATCCATCACACGACGACACCGACACACAAGCATAAAACCCTAGAAGTCACGACACTCACTCAATTCAAATACTAATCATGGTTGCGGAAAGTGATAATCTTGATCCGACGGCGGATACGGCGGCGAACTGTCTGATGTTGTTATCGAAAGTTGGGGAACACGACGGAGGAAAGAAACGTGTTTTCCGATGCAAGACTTGTAAGAGAGACTTCTTTTCGTTCCAAGCTTTAGGAGGCCACCGTGCAAGCCACACGAAACTTATCAACAGCGACGATAAATCACTACCTGGATCACTTAAGAAGAAGCCTAAAACTACGACGACGTCGTCTCATACTTGTCCGATTTGTGGTTTGGATTTTCCGATAGGACAAGCTCTTGGTGGTCACATGAGGAAACATAGGAACGAGAAAGAACAAGAAAAGGCCTCTAACGAATTGGTTACGCGTTCTTTCTTGCCGGAGACGACAACGGTGACGACTTTAAAGAAATCGAGTAGTGGGAAGAGAGTGGCGTGTTTGGATTTGGACTCAACTTCGGTGGAGAGTTTGGTCAATACGGAGTTGGAGTTGGGAAGAACCATGTACTGATTTTTCATGTTCGTTAATTAGGGTTTTAGGTTTATTGATAGATAAAAACATCTTACATATAGAGTTTTTGCATTGATTTAGTCTTTGTTGATCCATTTATCTTACTGTTCGATGTGTATACATTAATACAATTTGATACTATTCAAGATTTCTTTTATTGTTCGCAAATTTTGGTTTCACGTTTTATTAACCCTTGTTGAACTATGAATGGTTTAAGTAGAGTTGAAACTACAATACATAAGTGTTGGCAGCTTAGTTACTGTTGTGCAACTAAAATATGATAATTAAGTTTCATGATCACTGGATTGAAGAAGCTAACACAAATTATACGTTTAATTTAGTTGTTAAACCATTCATAGTTCAACAACACTTATGGTTGTGTTAAAGATAAGTTTACAAGTCTTAGAAGTAATGTTTAAAGACTTGATAAAAGAGGAAGCAAGAGAAACATAAGAATAGAGGTGATGATGATATATAGAGAGAAGTGATGACCAACATAACAATTCAGTCACCGTCATAAAAAATCAGCAACAGAGAAAGAAAAAAAATACAAGTTTCGATTAAACCTTCGTACAAATAGGAAGGACAATTTAGAACGAATCAGAAATGTTGGCATAAAACAAAAATTACAGAAGCACCCAACGATCTTAGTTTTTTCACTTCACCCCAAACTTTTTTTCGACTTAAAGCTTCACTCTTGGAACTTTTAAGTTCCACAGCATGCAGATTTCTGTGTGGCCTGTCCGGCTCCAGCTGCCTGGTCTGTTTGGCTTATCTTGATAGTTGCAGGCTGCAATTGACGAAAGACACATGCGTTTTAAGACCTAACAACGCAAAGATGTGAAAGAGAAGATAGGGATGTAACAAACCTCTGCCCTCGAGTCGGTGTCTGAAAGCCTCTGCTTAATGTCCCTCCCTATTGAGAAGAAAACTTCTTCAACGTTTAGGTTTGTCTTGGCACTCTGCGATGACACATATATAGCTAGATGTGTAAGCAATATGTACACTACCCATCTAGTTTAGATGATTGAGAGCATTGTTGGACTTACTGTTTCGAAGAACTTAATTCCGTACTCATCAGCAAGAGCCTGACCCTTTGCTGTAGGTACTGCCTGAAAATTGTGACAGAACCAAGAAGCTATTATTATTAGGATCAGTCAAGAATCATGAACAGGGATAAAGGCGGTGTGATTCATACCCTCTTGCTTTCATCCATGTCAGCCTTGTTCCCTACCAAGATCTTGTTAACATTATCTGAAGCATGCTGTTCGATGTTACGAATCCAGTTCCTAATGTCTGAAATAACGTCAAGAATCTTGTGAGTAAAAGAGATGATCATTTGGGTCAAGGAGACTTATAGAAACCAGTAAGCGAAAGACTTGATGGAGGGAGTTTTACTGTTGAAGGACGACTCGTCTGTGACATCATACACTAGCAAAATGCCCATTGCCCCACGGTAATAAGCTGTGAAAATGCAAGAGAAAAAGAATCTTCAAACAACAGAAACGGATCAGTATAAACTGCCAAAATATCCCAACAATATCAACTAGACAATACCTACGTATGTAGTCAGCAAAACAAAGCAAATCAGTAAAGTGGCATTGCACAAATACATCCCCTTTACCTATAAGTGGCTATCTAAGACTTCTTATAGGTGTTTGACATCTTGACAATCTTTCTAACTTGACTGCTATTGTGATGGTGAATGCCAAGTAAAGTGATCAGCAAGTAGATTTATATGAAAAGATGAACTACAAAGTGCTGAAATAGCCCAACAACATCAACTATACAAGACCTAGCAAAGTAATCAGCCACACAAAGCAAACCAATCAAGTGGCATTGCACAAAAACATTCCATTTACAAGAGATCATAGCACAGGTAAGTGTTCATCTCCTCGAGAATCTATCTAATCTGATTGATACTGGGATTGTGAATGCTCTTAGTACTAATCCAGCAAGCAAATTCATATGAAAAGATGAAACTCACCAGTGGTGATAGTCCGAAACCGCTCTTGACCAGCGGTATCCCAAATCTGAAGCTTGATACGTTTACCATCAAGCTCAATCGTTCTTATCTTAAAGTCAATACTACATCAAAGCAAAATAGAGAAACAAGACTCTGTAAAACGTCAACGAACAAAATCAAAACAACTATCACAGAATTCAATATCTCCATAGCCGAGAGAAAACAAACCCAATGGTGGTAATGAAGCTAGTGGTGAAAGATCCATCAGAGAAACGTAGAAGAAGACAACTTTTACCAACACCTGCAAAGAAAAACAAACCCTAGGTTACAGAGATCTCTCAATACAAAGACCGATCCACACAACGATCACAGTGAATAGATCGATTCAATTAAAAACAAATAGATTCAGAAAATTTCAACGGATCCACGATCGAAGAGGTTTCAGATCAACGTACCGCTATCTCCAATCAAAAGAAGCTTAATGAGATAATCGTAATCAGCTCTGGCTCTAGCAGGAGGAGCAGCCATTGAATCTGACGGAGAAAAAAAAAAAAACTCAAAGATCAAAAACTTAGTTTCATCGAGATAGAGCCAGAAATCGAATGAATCGGCTGCGGAAAGAAGAGATCGTGTACCGGAGAGAGAAGAAAACCGATGTAATCGGAAGAATCAGAGAGCGAAGAGCGAAGGTTATGGCGGACGGCTAAAATGCGCCAGTCCCGATTTAGCTTTTTTTTTTTTTCCTTCCCTCTCTTGTGATTTTTTTCCCGGCTTCTTCTATTTTACTTCTTTCGTCTGCTTCGCGTGCACGATAGGATTCACTGCGCACGTTAGTTGGAAACGAAGGAGTGCGCAGAAAAAGAGAGAAGGATTCTTCTTTTTGGAGGGCCTATTGAAGAAGGCACGAAGCCTTATGGGCCTTTTTATTAATTAGTTTAAATCCAAATCAATTAGCTGGACTAAATCAATACTTATACTATAGTAATCTTTTTTTTGGTATCAAAATACTACTACTACACTAATTTAATCTGAATATCTGATAAATCATTTTGTAAAAATATTTAAAAGGTTATATATTTACCATGACTTATTTTCAGATAATTCTTATTTATAATAAAAACTGATATATATATATATATATATATATATATATATATTAAAAGGGAACAAACGATAAATATTAAATATATTTTCGTAAAAAAATTCTGAGCCTTACATAAATTGTTCACGATATACTATTTTTGAGATTACATATATATCAAATTGACTTGTCAAATATTTAGGAATTAGGAGAAATGTCGTTGAGATGAAATTCTCCTCCCAAAGATCATTATTTTTGAGGTCATTTGTAAGTTGTAACATAACATAATTTGAATTTTAGATTTGTTGAAACAAGAAAGCTTTTGGAAGGAAAACTATTCAATTTTTGTTTGTCAGAATTTTTAACTTATTTTGTCATAGAAGGAACTTCACATCATCGGATCTTATTTTAGTTTTGAGAATTATTGCAAGTTTCCAAACAACAGTCAAATTTCATTAGCCAATGTTTACTTCAAAATTCTTTTAACACATGAAAACCACAAAACCGCACAGATCTTAAAAAAGGTATTTCTAAATTATCATCTGATTTGCACTGTTCACTCAAAGATTGTTTGTATTTGGAAGAACTTTCTAAATGAAAAACATGTTTTTAAAATGGTTTAACAAAAACAAACAAGAAGAGCATGACTCCAAAATGAGTAAATGCCACATTTAACGATAAGTCAAGAAAGATGATTTTGCTTTCATAATTCGCAAGTCTAACGAATTCAAAAACTGAAATAAACTAGTCTACTCATCTCCAAGTTCTTAAGCATCCGAGTAACCACATACAAAACTACTACTTTAAAAGGGAGGTCAATCGACTTACTCACTCCTTCCACATAAGGAGAAGCAAACTATAACCCGATAAGATGGATTTCAGTAAAAGAAGCCAAGAACTTTGCCACCAACATTCTTTCTCCTGGCTTCTTCATGATCCATGATTCCCGCTGAGGTCGTCAGAACAATGTAACCAAACTGCACACAGAGAATGATGTATACAATGAATTTGTAACATTGCAAGATGAAGTAAGCTCAAGTCAATCTACTAGTAATGAACACTTCACACCCGATTAAACCATAATATGAACAACAAAGCAAGGCACCAGATCAATATGAGCTTGTATTACTAGCATTAAGTAGAATCTTATGTTCTATAGTCTCTAGACTAACCTGTCTAGAAGGAAGTAGACGAGCGGTCCATCCTTCAATCTCCTTAACACCGACATCGAAACGAGGACTGATAACACCACACTTGTTCAGCCTTCCATTAAGCTCAACAACAATCTTACCAGACCTGTGGTCATCAACATACTCAAACTCGCCAATGTAACCTAAAAATCCAACAAAAGCATCATTACACTTGAAACCTGTATACAGGAATCAAAGCTAAGCTCTGCAAAGTTATCGTACCGTGCTTTTGCATGACGATAAGGAACTTGATGATAACTTTAGAAGAAGGCCTGATCATAACCTGCCTCTTTCCTCTCTTCTCAGCATTGTACATACTCTTAAGAGCATCATTGAGTACACTGATTCTCACCATTCTTCAAAAACTGCAAAAGCATATATCAACAAATCTTAAGCTTATTGACTGACATTTGCATAAAAACATCTACAGAGGCAACGAATTTGATTCCCAAATGATATAAACGAAAGCTTGGAACCTAGATTCTCCGGAGAAACATCAAATTGGTGAAATTAACTACACGAGAAGGTGAAAGAGATGGATATTCCGGCGATTACTAACCTGAAACCTAAGTAGCAGCCGCTCCGACGTCTCTCTCTCGCTTGGCCTTGAAGAAGAGATTAAACAGGAGACGGAACTAAAATTAGGGTTTTTGCTTTTATCGCTTCAAGGGTTGGTTATGGAATCGGGTTAGATTTATGTGTTATTAGGCCCATTATAGATACATATTTGGCCCATTTTAGCCCGTTTTAAAATTGGTTAAATATATTGATTGTAGTAAATTTACCATTACCAATGTTTTTTTTTGGTTAAACCAAAAAGGTTTCATTTTTTATTTATTTTTTGTCAACAACTTTATTAAATTAGCTTAACACTAATTTCATTTCACATCCATGAAAATTCATTTTTCTTGTAATAATTAGAGTAGAGCGATTCGGTAAATATGAGAAATGAAACTCGTAGCTAGGTAATTACTTAATTTTTGATTTGCGTAATGGCCCAATTAAAAGGTGAGAGATTCTTAGCCGTTCACTGCTAACGCCGGATTTAATTCTAATCTACGGTACGTGATAACTTCCACGTCATCAATCCTCGTGAAACAAGACTTAACCAATCAGTATCTAATTCATAGTCGTATATATACATCAGCTATCGAAGCAATTAAAACAACACACACAATCACAGAACTTGATCTCACGTTTTATCTTCTAAATTCCGAAACTTTTTTTCTTGTGAAGAAAATGGCACCAAAGGCAGAGAAAAAGCCGGCAGAGAAGAAACCAGTGGAGGAGAAATCAAAAGCAGAGAAAGCTCCGGCGGAGAAGAAACCAAAAGCCGGCAAGAAACTCCCGAAAGAAGCCGGCGCCGGCGGAGACAAGAAGAAGAAGATGAAGAAGAAGAGTGTTGAGACGTACAAGATCTACATCTTCAAGGTTCTGAAGCAAGTTCATCCAGATATTGGAATCTCAAGCAAAGCTATGGGAATCATGAACAGTTTCATAAACGATATCTTCGAGAAATTGGCATCGGAATCGTCGAAGCTTGCTAGGTATAATAAGAAGCCAACGATTACTTCTAGGGAGATTCAGACTGCTGTTAGACTTGTTCTTCCTGGTGAGCTCGCGAAACACGCTGTTTCTGAAGGAACTAAGGCTGTGACTAAATTTACCAGCTCTTGAATTGTGTGGGTCTTGTTGAATCGAATTGTAAAATTAGGGTTTTTAGATTTGATGGTTGTTGACTATTAGTGGTTTCTGAATTTCGTTTTCTTTTGGGTTTTTTTTTTCTTAGTGCTATGTAATCAAACAAGATCCGATCTTTCTCTGAAATCAATTAAAGCTTGATCTTTTTGCTGAAATGTCTGCTAAATTATCTCTTCTTCACTGCAAATGAATCGATTGTTGTAGAATTAGCTTCTCGCTTCAATCAAACGTCGTCGTTTCGTTAGGATTTCTTGTGTTTCTTCCAAAACGTCGTCGTTTCGTTTGACCGATTAACCTAGAAAAGTTTTGCTCTTGACTCTTTGAGTCATTTCTGAATTAGTTTGGATAAAGATGGCTAAAAGAATCTCAGCTCAACTCTTCGTAAGCAGTATGAAAATGGTTTCTTTATTATCTCTGATTAGACTCTTGCTCCTTTTACTTGCTCTGGTTTCTGAAATTGTTCTGTTGCAGGGTTATCTGCTTATACTACAGATCAATCTCTGAGGCAATTGTTTTCTCCTTTTGGTCAGATTAAAGAAGGTAAAAACCTGAAATTGAATTTGTTTAAGGCTCGGTTATGAACTAAATTTGTGTTGTGGGTTTGTTTAGCTCGGCTTATTAGAGATTCTGAAACACAGAGACCAAAAGGATTCGGCTTTATTACATTTGAGTCTGAAGATGATGCACGAAAGGCATTGAAAAGCTTAGATGGGAAGGTGAGATAATCCAATTGAATATTACTCCATTAACACTTCACTAGGTTTCTCTGGCTTTGTTGTTTAGTGTACTAATTAGTTCTTGGAGATTTGCTTAAGAAATGACTTTGTTCTGTAATGAATTTACATATCCATAAGTTCCTACACATTACTCTCTGTAATAAGTTCCATAGGTCTCTAAATTCATTGTAGGAAGTCCAATTAGGGTTGATTTTGTTCCTCTCATTGTGACTATAACATTGTTGAGCTTCTTTAGGAATGTACTAAATTGTATTTGGTTCTTTTGTTTGTTTTTATGGCTTCAGATTGTAGAAGGTAGACTAATATTTGTGGAAGTAGCCAAGAGCTCTGAGGAAGTGACAACGGATATTAACAGTAAGAAAGCCGAGGACCGCGGATGATTTGAGCATCGACACTCATTGTTATCATGTAGACTTGTTTACAGAATTGATCTGAGATCATCAGTTTCATGTTTCAAGTGGATGCAATTTGTGAAATATGGTTTGTAGAATAATCTGTGACAATATACGTTCCTTCTTTAACTGATTTGGGCCTATTTTGTCAAATATGAATATCGGGCCTGATTGGGTTAATGGGCTTTAACATAATAAGCGCCGAGGCTAGAGTGACATGCCTGTAGGAAACCTGTCGCACAAAGCAAACTCCAAAATCTCCACGTGTCCATAATTGATTGGATATAACCAGCTCTACTCAGCTGGTTCCCATCACCGCTATAATGAAAGTTGAGAGGAAAAGTGGAGCCAACCGGAGAGATTGCCGAAGAGCCATATGATTCACGGACCTTTCATTTCTTTTTCTTTTTGATTTTCAAAAGAAATTTTATCCCGGTAATAAAATAATTTAGTGGCATTTTTTCCTAAGTAAAATAGAAAAAGAATTTTATGTAGTCCCATTTCAAGTAGGGATTAATTTCTTTTCTTTTTGAACTATGCACATATACCAAATGTGTATATCTGTTACAAATTTTTTGTTGTCCCTAAAATCTGTCAACTTTCACATATAGGACCAGTGTTTGAATCTTAAAGCTTTGAAATAAAGTACTAACAAACCAACTAAGTGTATTTAAAATTTGAAACTGATACATGACGTACCAAGTTAGTTTGTCATTCAAGTGTCTAGAGACTATAGTTTATTGAAAAACAATTTTGTCTGGACTGGTAGATATATATGTTACAAAATTATGAATCTTCTTAAAATTATATAGGACAACAATCATTTTTATAAACGGTCAACAATCAAAGAAGAACCCAAAAACCTCGTCAACTATGATTTTAGAATCCTAACAAAAACAAAAAAAAACTAAGATTTTAGAAAAAAAATAACCATAATTATTTGCAAGAAATTTTTTAATTTTGTACATTTTTGCGTGATTTTCTTTGGAAATGGATATGTTATATACTTAGATTATAAAGTATGTGTTTTACCAATGATTTAATCGATATATGAGATTTTTCTCTTCAAAAATGTTCGTTACTAGGATTTAACCCGCGGTACACCGCGGGTAAAATTGTATTTTATGTACTTTATATAATAATTTATAACTTATTGGATTTTTAAATTGATTGTATATTAAAAACTATCATTTAATTATTTTATATTATGATTAATATAGTTGAAATATGTGTACTTAGAAGAGTTGTAAGTGTAGAAATGATATAGTGTTAAATTGGCAAGCATTTATAATCATTGACTATTATAATAATTTGATATTATTTTGTATCAAAAAAATTTACCTTGCGGTATATTGCGGGTCGATTTTTGTAAACTAAATTTTTTAAATTTTAAGTTATATTTGTTTTGTTAATATTGTTTGGTTTGTTTAGTATTTAAGATTATATAATTTTATTTTTATTTTTAATTCCAGGTTTCACCCGTGGTATACCGTTCTGTATTAATATCAACCCAAACCCCTCCAACCATATAACCCCGTTTTGTATTCAGAATTATTTTGGTTCTTTTTATAGTATGACTCTGAACCATTGCCTAATTTTTTAAGCAATGTGGAACATTGTACACATATTTTTTCTTCATCGATTGAGTAATATATGTCCCTTTTTAAAAAATTGAATCACATTATATGCAGAAAAAATCTATTATTTTATTAATTATATGTATTTTATATAAATTCAAAATAAATTACTATAAGATCATATAAAAGTGAAGAAGAATCATATATTAATGTTTAAATTAGGTAGAGATGTTTTAGGAAAATTTAGAAACAAAATCAATTTATTACCATATTTGGAAGCTACAATTTCTAAAATATTTTTTCGAAAATATTTTTTAATAATAATTAATAGATAAACAATTATGACAATGGCATTCTCTTGTAATAAATGTCAACTCCAGGATTTATTTCATATTCGTACTTCGAAAATTTATATATAGATTAGGACAGACAGTGAAACCATATAAAACTAATTGTGAAAATGAAGTATTTTTTTCAAAATCATCAAAATCCTAATCATGTAATTATGAATCTGTCTCAGTATCAATATTTTTTACTTCTTAAAGTCGAATCATTCACCATAAGTTAGTCAAAACCCATTAAAACAAAGTTCTCAGACAAACAAAGTATTTCTCTAATCAATACAACGAAATTCGAAATTAGAATTGAATTAAAAATTATTTATTGAAACACTTACCAAATAGACTCATTTGTAAAAATAAATCTAATTAAAGTATTGAATTAAAAATCCAAAGAATATTATTGAAATACCAAATACTCCATATAGTTTTTTTTTTCTAAATTATTTCTCGTCCATCATATGGTGGACTTCGAATAAAGTTGAAGAAAAGAAGAGAAAAGAAATTGAGAAGAAGAAAAAAAAAAAGTGACCGAATTCTCCGTCGATTGTAGCCGCCGGAAGAAATATCTTCTTCTTCTTCCTCTTTCGTTAAACAACGAATTTGCTCTGATACTAGTGTGTTTCCAGCCATGGTGAGCTCAATTTTCCCACTAATTTTCTCGATATGTAGTGTGCTTCTCTCGATTTTGGTTTCGTCTCGTATACGAATCTTCTGATTTCGATTCTGGCTCATTTTGGTGTTTCGTTAGATCAGTAACTGGAATTTGGTTTTAGATCTCTGAGATTTGGTGTTTATGTGATCGTTTTGTGACTTATCTAGGATTAAAACTGTGCGAGAGAGCTTCCTGTTGAGTTTACTCTGGTTTTTTCGATTCCGATAGCTAAAATTTGAAATTAGAAGAGTTAACTTAGGGCTTCTTGTTCTTGAACATTTTTTTAAGTGATTTTTCAATTTCGATGATATTTTGTTGTTTCTCCTATTGATTGATTCATCAGTTTTTATGTAATTGATAATCACTCTAGAGGTTTGAGAATAATAGAGGTTTTTGGATTGTTGTTTGTAAGAAGACTTGAATATGTTATGTGAAATGGTTTTAATATGAGTGTTCTTTGGTTTAACAGGCGAACGCAGCATCTGGAATTGATGTGCATGATGATTGCAAGCTGAGATTTCTGGAACTGAAGGCGAAAAGGACACACCGTTTCATTGTTTACAAGATTGAGGAGAAGCAGAAGCAAGTTGTTGTTGAGAAAGTTGGTGAACCGATACAAACCTAAGAGGAGTTTGCAGCATGTCTTCCAGCTGATGAATGCCGTTATGCAATTTACGACTTTGACTTTGTCACTGCTGAGAACTGCCAGAAGAGCATGATCTTCTTCATCGCGTGGTAGCTAATCACATAATTTGCCATTAATCTCGTTTCTCACTATCTTCCAAAGGTTTTTGACATATTTCTGTGATGCAACTTCTGTTGTTTTGTCAAGGTGCCTAGACATAGCGAAGGTGAGAAGCAAGATGATCTACGCGAGCTCTAAAGACAGGTTCAAGAGGGAACTAGACGGAATTCAAGTAGAGCTTCAGGCAACCGATCCAACTGAGATGGATCTCGATGTTTTCAGAAGCCGTGCCAACTAAAAAGTAAAACCCAAAGATTATTATCCCCTTGAAAGATCTATTCTCTTATTCTGTTATTTTTGAGTGATGGTACTTTATTATGTTTTTACATTGTGTTGTCAAGATATGAACCTAACAACTTCATTCTATCGGTGTTTCGTCATTTGTTCATGTTGTCTTTGGTTTCTAAATGGTGTGTAAGGACCCCAAATCGTCTATTGAAGATGAACCCTTTTGGGTATCATTTATGAAATGGATGATTGAAAGTTTCCCTCACAATTGTATGAAACAACTGTCTAGGACCAGATTGATCTACATTTATTTTTGGTCCACTAGAAGAACATTTAAGTAGATTATGATTGGATTGGTCGTTTTGACCATTCATTCTTATGTTTGTTTCAAAAGAAATTGCTTGTGTTGACCACATTTGTATAGCTCCAACATGAAGTGCTACCAATTCATTTAAAATCTTCTTTAATAAACACAAATATTGAATTTGTACTTATCCACGAAGTAATCACATAATCGATGACATTTTCAATATAGGTGAGATATGTATTATTCGGATAGCTTACAAATGCAATGTAACCAAATGTAAATAATATGAACAGTGAGAAATAAATAGTTTATGGGGGATGTGCCTTTAGTCAAGTGGTTAAGTTCATTTGACTCCGCCTTCCCACCGGAGTTCGACTCCACTTAGTCGCGTTACCCCACGTAGTAGGGATTGGCTATGGATCGGGCCTTGTCGATCCAAAGGTGTAAAAAAAAAAAAATAGTTTATGTAAGAGATCAGTAATAAATACTTTATTATTATTATTAAATAATAATAATAAAACTTTTATTACTGTTTTCTTATCCATATATTATGATAATAACTATATGATTATCCTTGAGTGGTTGATCATCTCTCCTTTAGCATAGCTAATCCAACAGTGGAGGCAAGGATCAACCACTCAAGGATCAACTATGCCTTTGTGGACTTGGCTTGCCTCCACTTTTCTGCGACATAAACGCCCACACTCATTACAATCCTCAGTGGAATCGTTGTGACTATGACATGGAAGGCTTACGGAGATTTACAGACAAATAAGAAATTCGATTCTCTAGCAAAGGATATTGAAAACCTCTATGAAGGGCAGGGTTCTTTGACAACCTTAGTCAAACTTCAAGGGAACCAGATTGTGATGCTTCGTGAGAAGACTGAAGTCCATGAAGGAAGATTGAAGATTGGTGAAGAAGAGCTAGAGAAGATCAAGAAAGAGATTGCCTCATCGAAGAAGTGAAGAAGTTTGGTTAGGATTCTCTTTTCTTTTGGATGAGTTCTTTTGGATTAGACTTGTTTCAGAAGAAAAAAAAAACAAAGTTTATTTTTGTCTTAGATTTGTACAGTTATTTTTGGGGTGATTTTAATCTAAATCCATAGATAAAAGAATAACATAATATCTAACCTCTCTTATTTTCTATTTAGTTCTTTCTCTTATGCTGGTTTTTTAAAGACAAAAACATCTCTAAAAACTACAAGATCCGTATAAACATATGAAAGATATTACAAGTTTAAAAAATTTAAAAACAATTGATAAATTAACAGCTGTCAAATAAGATGAAATCAAAGAAGATACAAAAGATAACATTAAATTATGGGAGAAGTAAGTTTATGGGGATATTATAATTGTTATCTGTTAATTCAGGATTGGCTCATTTATGGAGTTACTATAACTATTATACATGTTAACTCAGGATCCGTACTCCATAGAATGAAGGTGGCCTATAAGTTTGTTTTGGCTAGGAAAGGGTAAATGATTAGTATGGGGTAAAATGGTTGAAGGATAATAAACTTAGAACATAAATTTGGTGCTTCCGTGAACACATTAGTTATATTGTCATGTTAGAGGATAAAACCTAAGTTATTAGGTATCCCGTTTAGTAGCGGGTTAAATAGTTGAATGTAAAATAGGATAACACCGTTACCTCGTACATAATGGGATAACATGTAGGTTAACAAAAACTGTTGCCATACTTCAAATGTTTTTTTTATAAAGACCATACTTAAAATATTGTCCGGTAAGATCATATTTCTATTTCAAAGTTAGCAGATAAATAATAAATATAAGTTTTAGATAAGTATATTAAAAGTTAAAACGGTTGGAATTGGGTTAAATAATAAAAAGTAAAATACACAAAAAAAAGGCGAAAGGAGCATATATCATACGATACATCGCACATAAATCAAGTAACACGTAAGTTAGCACGTAAGATCATATATTTCAAGTTAACATACATATATATAGATTTCTTCTCAAGTATATAACAAGTTAGCGGAGACATACATTGTTATCGGGAACATTAAGTTTTAAGAAACTAAATGAAGAGAAAATATTAAACTTAGAGGACATTAAAAATCCCGAAGAAACTGTATGACAAGTTACTTGGTACAAATAAGGGTTAACGAGGAAGTTAACCCATAATGGGGCATCTAGTATTTATCCTGGGGCATCTAGTATTTATCCTCTAACCTTTGAATTGTTTGGTACTAATTAAATTTTATGAGACCCATAGTTATCCCTGTAATGGATTTAAATTATTTTTCATGTTTTTCTTTTTTTCTGTGAATTGCTAGTGTACACAAAATAAAATCAAACCAAATATTTTATTCATGCGTTCTGACACATACTACTAATGCCATAAGCCTATAACCTAAGACCACACGCAGTGGTGCAATTTTAACTCGGGTGTTAGTAATAAAAAATAGAGAAATAATAGAATAGTGGGTATACAGATAACACACAGGTGTTAAATAACACACGGGTGTGAGTATTATTTTGATGTTTGATGTTTCATCTATCTCTCTCTCCACACAAATCTCTCTCTTTAAAAAAAAATTATAATAAATATATTAGTCACACCCAAAACTAAAGTTTTCCACTGTGTATGCCCTAACATCTCTCTTCTATTGGGTTAGTTTAGATGTAGCCATGTAGGAGTGTAACAGTTATTTATGTTGCTACAGAGATTGCCCAATAGTGTCAGAATGTATCAGCTAATTAAGAAATTTTCTTTGGTTATCTCGTGTAAATACCCTTATTTTTGTCTTAAATTGATCTACAGTTATTTTTGGTCCACTAGAAAAACATTTATTTAAGTAGTATATAATTGGATTGGTCGTTTTGACCGTTCATTCTTATGTTTAGTAAGAATTTGCTTGTGTTGACCACATTTGTATAGGCCCAACATCAAGTGGTACCAAATCATTTAACAAACACAAATCATGATCAATTACACTATCTCTAAATTTATTAACTTATCGACGAAAGTATCACCTAATCGATGACATTTTAAATATAGGTAGCAATCACAGCTTTCTTCATAAATAAATATGAACAGTGGGAAATAGTCAAAAATTAGGCATGGTAAGCTAACCGAACCGAATGTATCGAACCGGAACCGAAGTAAAAAAAACCGAACTGAACCAAACCGAAAATTTGAAAATATCCGAATGCATACTAAATTCGAAAATCGAAAGACCGGACCGAATCGAAACCAAACCAAAATTTTAAAATACCCAAATAGATACTAAACTCTAGAACCAAAAGAACCGATGCCGAACCGATAACCGATTGGATAACCGACCCATAATTACAAAAATCAGTATTTTCTTATTACTAGGGCTGGGCCGGATCCGGATATCCGGCTTTTTTTGGGTATCCGGATCCGCCTTTTCATTATCCGGATCCGGATCCGTTCCACCCGGATATCTGGATTTTGGATATCCGTAAAAAGAGCCGGATATCCGGCGGATATCCGGATCCGGGTTTTTTTTATATAATTTTTTTTATTAATATAAAATTTCAAGAAAAATATTTAAAAACAAATAATTTAATATAAATAATTAAAAATATTATTAAAAAATATTATTCTTATATAAAATAATAGAATTTATTAATAAAATTTAAATAATAGTAAAAAAATATTATTATTATATAAAATATCCCGGATCCGGATATCCTGCTTTAAATTTTCTATTATCCGGATCTGTATCCGGATCCGGCCGGATCCGCTTTTTCATTATCCGGATCCGGATCCGCCCCACCCGGATATTCTATTTTTCGGAGCGGATCCCGGATCGGATCCCGGATAATTGGTCTCACCCCTAGTTATTACTGTGATTAAACAGAAAATAACCATACTTTATTATATTTTCTTATCCAAATGTAAAGAAACAAATGAAATACGTTTCCAAATAAATTATTTGGATAGCTTACAAATGACGCTGACAAAACGAAAAGAGAAGAAACAGTGAAGAAAAAAAAAAGTGATTTTCATTCTCTCCATTGATTTTTTGCCGACCGGAGAAAATATCTTCTTCCGTCTTCTTCATTTCACCAGGAATTTTCTTTGAAATCGGTTTGATTTGGCCATGGTGAGCTCAATTTTCTCTCGTTTCTGTTTTAAGTTCGCTTTCTTCTCGAATTTTAATTGCTTGCTAGTCGATTCAAGTTGCTTCTCTTTGGATAACGCTTCTCGCTCATTATATAGATCTGGAGATGAATCTCATGTACTTGATCTTTGGTTTTCGTGTGTTGTTGTGGTGTGTGATCCGATTTATATATCTAGGACTTGAAAATCCGATGAAGAACTCGTAACTTTGTTCTGCTTCTTCGCTAGTTAATCTGAAATCAGGAAGAATCTCTTGTTTTTCACTTCAAATTCAAAATCAAGTGTTAATTCTTCGCTAGTCAATTGTTCGATCTATGTAGTGCTTCTTGTCTCGTGATGAGTCAAAATTGTTGTTTAATTGTCTCTTCCATGTGATGGTAATATTATCCAATTTCTGTGTTGATTGATCGTTGGTTTAGAAATGTGTTTTTGAAGCGATGTGCATCTTCTCAGTGTTTTGTTCTCTGTATTGATATGATAACAGGCTAACGCGGCGTCAGGAATGGCTGTGCATGATGATTGCAAGCTGAAATTTATGGAACTGAAGGCGAAACGAACATTCCGTACCATAGTTTACAAGATTGAGGACAAGCAAGTGATTGTAGAGAAACTCGGTGAACCTGAACAATCATATGATGACTTTGCAGCAAGTCTTCCAGCTGATGAATGTCGATACTGCATTTACGATTTCGACTTTGTCACTGCGGAGAACTGCCAGAAAAGCAAGATATTCTTCATTGCATGGTAAACTAATTTGCATATTGCTTTCACCTACTAACTCATGTCTATGGTCATCAATGTGTGTTTGTTGTTGTGCCAAAGGTCTCCGGACACTGCTAAAGTGAGAGACAAGATGATTTACGCTAGCTCTAAGGATAGGTTCAAGAGAGAACTAGATGGAATTCAGGTGGAACTTCAAGCTACCGATCCAACCGAAATGGGTCTTGATGTTTTCAAAAGCCGCACCAACTAAGAAAAAAACCCTTGTAAGGGCCTTGAATAAGTTTGGTTTCTGGAGTGAATATGTTTCCTCTGACTGTTATGAAAACTTTTTAACAACTTTATTCAATTTGGTATTATTGTCTGTCTTTGATGTGTTTCATCTATGGGAACTATGAGATGTGTGTCTTGTGATGGTTTTCAATTAGTTAATATATACAATACTTGAAATCAGATTTGGTGTTATTGCTAGGCTTCAAGCCTTGTCACAACAACACTTCATGATTTATCTATCTGATTATTTATTTTATCCCTATATGTTTTGAATCCCATATCAAGCATCTCCTTAAATTATTTAGATTTTGAATACTCCTTGTGAGAGTGTTTTAGAGTTCTGACTTTCAATAACGATTTTCATTATGTAGAGCCCTCTCTACTCTCTATGTAATGCTAAAATAGTAAATACATGGTCGAGCTTGAAACTAAGCCTTGTTACAACAACAATTCATGATTTATCTATCTAAGTCATAACTCAAAAGCAACTCAATATATTCAAAAAAACAAAAAAAAAAACAAGTGGTTTAATTTTCTTTTGAAGCAAAATCTAGCTTAAAACGTGTGCAGCTAAATTAATGGCGGAAATTTAGCTTGATATATTAGCCAATCCGGTTCGGTTCACAAATTTAAACCGAAACACAGATAATCGGAGAGCTAAACCGGGTCAAATAAGGTCTCTACCAATCACCCTACAAATCATGATTGCACTATCTATCTCTAAACGTGTGAACTTATCCATGAAGTTATCACCTTATCTGAGATAAGTAATTTCTTATACTAGTATTGTTTAACAGAAAATTGATATTTTATTATATTTTCTTATTCATATATGATGATAATAACCAAATGTAAAGAAACAAATAAACAAATGAAATATGTTTTCATATATAAATTATTGGGATACTTATAAATAACACTAAAAAAAAAAAGAGAGAGAAAAATGATACTTTATTATTTAACAGAATATAAATACTTTATTATTTAACAGAAAATAAATACTTTATTATATTTTCTTATCCATATATTATGATAATAACCAAATGTAGAAAAAAATAAAAAATGAAATACGTTTCCATATACAAATTATTGGGATACTTATAAATATGAAATATCAATGAAAAGAAGAAGAGAGAAAATAAGAAAATAAATACTTTATTATTTAACAGAAAATAAATACTTTATTATACTTTCTTATCCATATATTATGATATGTAAAGAAAAAAAGAAAAAAATGAAAAATAAGTTTCCATATACAAATGATTGGGATACTTATAAATAACACTGAAAAAGAGAAAAAATAATACTTTATTATGTAACAAAAAATATATACTTTATTATTTAATATAAAATAAATACTTTATTATATTTTCTTATCCATATATTATGATAATAACCAAATGTAGAGAAACAAATAAACAAATGAAATAAGTTTCCATATACAAATTATTGGGATACTTATAAATAACTTTGAAAAAGAAGAAGAGAGAAAAAACAGTGAAGAAAAATAAAACTCAAATTCATATTCTTTATCGTTTTTTCCGAGCCGAGAACGTCTTCTCCATTTCACATGGTGAGCTCAATTTCCTCTCCTTTCTTTTTTATTAATCTAGGATTGGAACCTGATGAAGAACTCATAACTTTGTTCTGCTTCTTCGCTAGTTAATATGAAATCAGGAATAATCTTGTGTTTTTTTCACTTGACGTGTCCATATGAGTTTGAACGTTTTGGTCGGTGGTAATCGATCGATTGGTCGATCTATGTGGTACTTGTTGTCTCCTGATGAACTCTAAATTGTTTTACTATAGACAACCTTGTCGTGGAACCTACTTGTTATTATAGATGTTTGTAGAAGTGATTATTCTATTACATTCTCAGAACTACAATATATATACAGGAGAGGGAGACCTAGGGTACACAAGTGTAATGAATGAGAGTATATACAACCTTACATATACGAACCCTTGACATACGCAATCATAGACAATCAAGGATATCAATCATATCCTTAATACGCCCCCTCAAGATGGAGGCACTCGAGTGACTCCAATCTTGCTTGAGAAGTTTTGAAACGTTGTCCTCGACAATGGTTTAGTAAGTGTGTCTGCCAATTGGTCATGTGTAGAAACATGAACAACACGTAGAGCGCCCGATTGTACTTGGTTTCTGACGAAGTGATAATCCAATGCGATATGCTTCATCCTCGAGTGGAAAACCGGATTTGCACACAGGTAGGTTGCACCAACGTTGTCGCAGTAAATGACGGGCTGCTGTGGTAAACGGATGCCAAGTTCAACTAATAAAGAGCTAACCCATTGCAGTTCAGCTGAAGTGTTGGCGACTGACCTGTACTCGGCTTCTGTGGAGGAGCGTACAACACCTTTCTGCTTCTTAGAAGACCATGAGATTGGATGATTACCGAGATAGACTATGTAACCATTTGTTGAAACATAATCATCTGTATCACCTGTCCAGTCCGCATCCGAATATGCGTGTAATGATAATGTGTTGCCTTTCTTAAGAAATATACCATGGTCGGGAGTCCCTGCTAAATAGCGAAGAACTCGCTTCAATGCTTGCCAATGCTCCGTGGTTGGTATATGCATAAATTGGGAGAGGCGGTTGACCGAATATGAGAGATTGGGACGAGTAAATGCAAGATATTGGAGACTTCCCACTATTCTTCGATACTCGGTCGGATCAGGTAGTTTGGTACCGGAATAAAGTGACAATTTTGGTGATGACGCCATTGGTGTTGTCACTGGTTTGGTCGTGAGCATATTGGTTTGAGCTAGCAAGTCAAGAATGTATCTTCGTTGACTTAGATGAAGACCTTGTGGCACTCGTTTTGCTTCAATTCCAAGGAAATAATGTAACTCCTCATGTTCCTTGACAGAGAAACGTTGAGCCAGAGCATCGAGGGTATGTTGGAGTAAAGCCGTGTCATTTCCAGTGATCAAGATGTCGTCAACATAGACGAGCATATAGATAATCGATTTACCGTGTTGAAGAATAAAAAGTGATGTGTCGGAGACTGAATTCACAAAACCAACTGTTAGAAGATAGTTCCGCAATTCAACATACCAGGCCCGTGGTGCTTGTTTAAGGCCATAGAGCGCCTTGCGAAGTCTGCAAACATAGTTGGGACGATCTTTGTCCACGAATCCCGGGGGCTGCGACATATACACTTCATCAGTCAACGTTCCTTGGAGAAATGCATTGTTGACATCTAATTGGCGGATTGGCCATGAGCGATCAACTGCTAACCCCAAGACGATACGAATCGAGGTGGATTTGATGACTGGACTAAACGTCTCAGCATAGTCAAGACCAGGACGTTGATTGTAACCCTTGGCAACGAGACGAGCCTTGTAGCGATTGATTGACCCATCTGAATTGAATTTCTTGGTGAATATCCAGCGGCAACCAACAATCGTTACAGATGGTGGTGGAGGTGGTACGAGATCCCACGTATGATTACCGAGCTGAGCATTGATTTCAGACCCCATAGCTTTTCTCCAGCGTTCATCTTTAAGCGCTTGGATAGCTGTACGTGGTTCCGAGTCAGCTGCAAGAGATGTAGCCAAAAGATATTTTGTGTTAGGTTTTACGATTCCGGCTTTTGCCCGGGTAGCCATCGGATGGATATTTGAAGGTGGTGGAGCGATGGGTTCAGGTGATGGTGAAACCTGAGATGGAGAAGATGAGATTGTTGAGTCGTGAGTGGTAGGGGTAGAAGACGTGGATTGTGTTTGGGTTGAGTGTATTGGGCTTGTTTGATTTGGGCTATTTTGATTTGAGTTGGTTTGATGTGGGCTATTTTGATTTGGGCTTATTTGTTCTGGGCTGTTTTGTTCTGGGCTTATTTGATGATTTATTTGTTGGGTTGGATTTGTATGTGTTTGTGTTTGGTGTTGCTGGGCCGTGGGTTGCGGCCCATTTTGACTTGGAGCAGTGGGCTCAGGGGAAGAAGGAGAAGACGTGGAGGAGGAAGAAGAAGATTGAGTCGGAGAAAATACCTGAGAGTTGCGTGACTGAACTGGCGGTGACGGCGGAGCGGGGGAGTTATCACGGTGAGGACTCGAACACGGGGGTGCCGGTAAAACCGAAATCGGGACTGAGAGAGTTGTATGAGATGGCCATTGCGGTGATGATTCTTGAATTTCTTCACGGGCTGACGTCACACCAGAGTGAAGAGCAGAGAATGGAAAATGTTGCTCATCAAACTGTACATGTCGAGACGTGTATATTCTGCCAGTCGAGATATGAAGACAGAGATACGCACTTTGGCTAAGAGAGTAACCCAAAAATACACATTGGCGAGACTTGTCTTCTAGCTTGTGTTGATTGTACGGTCGGAGCCAGGGATAACAAGCACATCCAAATATTCTGAGTTTGTCATAATTCGGAGGCATCCCAAATAACTTTTGGAACGGTGATTGAAGTTGAAGTAGAGGCGTTGGTAGGCGATTGATAAGGTAAACAGCCACTGCAAAGGCATATGGCCAATACGTCTTTGGTATGGAGGCATGAGACATGAGAGTGAGGCCTGTCTCAACAATGTGGCGATGCTTCCGTTCGGACACGCCATTGTGTTCCGGTGTATGAGGCGGTGAAGTGAGATGAGAGATACCATTTTGAGAGAAGTATTCTCGTAACGCAATGAACTCTCCCCCATTGTCGGAGTAGAATGTACCAATCCGTGTTTGAAACCGGTTTTCCACAAGATTTTTGAAGGTTATGAAAGTGTTTTTGACTTGAGATTTCTGTTTTAATGGGTAGAGCCAAGTATATCGGGTGTAGTGGTCAACAAAAATGACATAGTAACGGAAATTGTCAAGAGAAATGATAGGTGAGCTCCAAACATCAGAGAAGACATACTCAAGTGGTCGGGTAGAGAAAATAGTGGAATTAGAAAAAGGTACTTTATGACTTTTATTGATCAAACAATCAGAGCAAGATGATAGTTTGTTTGAAGGGTTTAAAACTGAAAGTGAAAAATTGGAAATAATTGAATTTAAAATTGCAGAGGACGGATGGCCCAAACGTGAGTGCCATGACGAGTGAGTAGCTTTCGAGCATGGAGACGCAAACAGCGAAACCGCTTGAGACGATGCAATGGGCCACACATACAACTCATCTTTAGTTTTGCCTTGGAGTAATGGGACCCCCGTGTTGAGATCCTTCACCTGAAATGATGCGGGAAAGAATTCCACAGAGACACGATTAGCGTTACATAATCGATACACAGAAATTAAGTTTTTGTGTATATTAGGGACATATAGAACTTTGTTAAGATCATATAGATGTTTGTAGAAGTGATTATTCTATTACATTCTCAGAACTACAATATATATACAGGAGAGGGAGACCTATGGTACACAAGTGTAATGAATGAGAGTATATACAACCTTACATATACGAACCCTTGACATACGCAATCATAGACAATCAAGGATATCAATCATATCCTTAATAGTTATATGCTAAGAGATCATAAAAATATCCAATAAATATCCAATTCTGTTTTGAGTTACGTACTTCTCCAATATGAATGACTAGAAATGTTTTTTTTTTTTTTTGTTCTGTGTATTGATATAATAACAGGCTAACGCAGCATCAGTAATGGTTGTGCATGATGATTGCATACTCAAATTCTTGGAACTGAAGGAGAGTCGAACATTCCGTTCCATAGTCTACAAGATAGAGGACAACATGCAAGTGATTATAGAGAAACTTGGTGAACGTGAACAATCATATGAGGACTTTGTAAACAGTCTTCCAGCTGATGAATGTCGATATGCCATTTTTGATTTCGAATTTATCCCATGGGAGAGAAAGATTTGCTTCATCGCGTGGTAAAATAATTTACTCTCTGCTTTTTGCTAACTAATTGCCTTGATTTGCTTACGTTATGATCATCATCAATGTGTTTGAGTCTTTTTTTTTTTTGTGTGCTAAGGTCTCCGGAAACTGCCAGAATGAGAAAGAAGATGATTTACGCGAGCTCTAAGGATAGGTTCAAGAGAGAACTAGATGGAATTCAAGTGGAGTTTCATGCAACTAAGAAATAAAACCCTTGCAAGGGCCTTGAATAAACTTGTTTCTCGAGTGATATGTTTCCTCCTGACTATTATTAAAACTTTTGGTATTATTATCTATCTTCATGTGTTTTCATCTATGAGGACTAAATGTTATTGTGCGTCAAAATGCTGAAAAAGTGTTTTTGTTTAGTTTACAAGCAAAATCGTTGACCAATCCGGTTCAATCCACTAATTCAACAAAATCACAAAAACTGGACCGAGTCAACTCAGGTCAACGAATTAAACAATAGGCCTAGAAAAGCCTACTTTGAATCTTTGATACTATAGCAGGCTCGTAACGTTATTTTTAAATGAACTTGTAATCAGGTTAGTTCAATTTCACGGAAAATACTCTATTTTACACATTTGTTTAATTAGATTCTTCATTCTTCATACTGTAATTGTATCGACCACATTACTCAGGTTTAAGTCCCTAAAGCCTAAATCATCATCTCCCTAGAAGCATAATAATAAATTCCCGGTTTTCTAAAGGTTTACGTCTTAGAAATTGGGGAACCGGCTGAACCGGGTCAATAAGGTCAACGCGGATTATTTTAATTAACGGTTAGAATCTCTCTAGCTATCGATCTACCTTGTAGTAAAAGGTATAACAATCAACAACGGATACGATCTCGCGTGAAAAAGCACAAAACCCAGCAATTAGGGTTTCTCAGAGATTTTGTTCGTCTTCAAGTTTTTCACTTTCTTCAATTTTTGCATTCGCAATCTCTTTCTCTCCTGGAAAAGATGAAGCGATTGGGATGCACTCGGAATCTCATAGCGTCTGATGCTACTTTCAACGTTCTCTTGGTTACGACGCTTGTTTTTCTGGTTCTGTTTCGTCGTCTAAGAGAAGAACCAAAGATCGTTGATTCAGAGATGGAGATAATTAGTTTTCGTTGGTTGATGGGGTTATTCGCTGGGATGATGGGAGCTGCTTATGTCATGGCTCGCTTAGTAACTGCTTTCGTCGAGGCCATGGGTTTAAACAATAGGAGCTTTGAAGAAGATGCGATGCTTTTTGGATTTTTGACTTTGGCGTATTTTCTTGTGAATTTGTTTGGATTCTGGGGAATTTTATGGCTGCTTGTTTCTCCTCCGTCTGTGTTTCTGGGTTTTACAACTTGGAAAGCATTTCAAGATTAAGATTCTTGGAGATGAAGATCTGCTTAGTGTTTTTATCGTTTTCAGTGTTTTTAGGGTTTAATAGTTTGATTGTGTGTACTATGTATGAGGATGTTGTTATTACAAGCATAATAGTTTTAGTTGGTAAAAATTTTCGTTTTCTAATCAAAAAATAACATTTAAATCGTTAAAATTTCTTTTACTCTCTGCCCTATATATGCTTGATAATTAATCAACAAATCAATAAGCTCCAGCAAAAAAAATCATTAAAAATAGAATCCATTAACCCAAGATAAATTGACAAAATCATCAATTTTTTACAAGTTCTCTTTTCAAGCAAAACTTTTCCTAAATTTCCAATTAGAGCACTAAACTTAAAAAGGTAAAGAAATCGGAGAACCGCCTGAGAGTGAACCGCTTCAAATCAGATCAATTTTGGACCAGGCCGATTAAGCCCAATAAAAGCCCATAAACAATACAGTAGAGCGGGAACGGAGATTTTAACACCGCGCTTAAACATAAACCAAATATTGACACGTCAGCGATCCCGCTTCATAATCTTAATAAACCGTCGATTAAAAAACAATCTCAACGGTTACGATCTTCCAGATCATCGATCCTCGTCAATATCTAATAACCAATCATATCAATTATTCGAACTACTATAAAAGCAAAACTCATCTTCACCGAAATAGATATCAAAATCACTCAGATCTGTGCTTCTTCTTCTTCTTCATCATCACCCAGAAAAAATAAAGTCAATACAATGGCGCCGAGAGCAGAGAAGAAGCCAGCAGAGAAGAAACCAGCCGCCGAGAAACCAGTAGAGGAGAAATCCAAAGCCGAGAAAGCTCCAGCGGAGAAGAAACCAAAAGCCGGCAAGAAACTCCCGAAGGAAGCCGGCGCCGGCGGAGACAAAAAGAAGAAGATGAAGAAGAAGAGTGTCGAGACGTACAAGATCTACATCTTCAAGGTTCTGAAGCAAGTTCATCCAGATATTGGTATTTCAAGCAAAGCTATGGGAATCATGAACAGTTTCATCAACGATATCTTCGAGAAATTGGCATCGGAATCGTCGAAGCTTGCGAGGTATAATAAGAAGCCGACGATTACTTCTAGGGAGATTCAAACTGCTGTTAGACTTGTTCTTCCTGGTGAGCTTGCGAAACATGCTGTCTCTGAAGGAACTAAGGCTGTGACTAAATTCACCAGCTCTTGATTTAGTAAATTAGGGTTTTTAGACTCTAATTTGAATCAAATGTTATCTTTTAGACCTTGGTTTTAGGGTTTCTGTTTCGTTTTATCAAGCTTTAATTATCTTTCTACGTTGTGTAAAGTAATGTTATGAATCTTAATTTGTGTGTTTTAATGGCTCAATGATTCTGTTGTGTTACCGATTGGTTCTCTTGTTTAATCATTATAGAATCATTAGACTAAGCATTCACATTATGTTCTTTAACTCTGTTACACATTTCATATATAATAAACCTATAAGGGTGTTTGTTGTTTGCCTAAATAAGGAGAATTGGAATGAGTTAGTTCCAGATGTGAGCATCGCATGGATCACAACCTTCTTGAGCAATGTCTGTGATTTGAACGCCGGCGTCGTAAGTCTTACCAGCTTCCCAATTGGATGGAAGAACATTCTGTGACCAAATCATTTTACCGTCGTAGCCGCCGGTTACTATGAATCTGAACTGAAGAGCGCCGGTTGGTACTTTGTCAGTCACCCATACCGCGCCGTGGCTTCTGGTCATGTAACCCCAATTTGGCGATGAACCGACCTGAGCAATGTCGATTGATACTACTTCGGTTTGTCCTCCTTGGTATAAAAGCTTTATCTCTAAGTAGTTTGGCTTTTTACTTGCTTCTTCGACTCTCACGTTTAGATTCTTGTTCCCATAATCGCAAGGAACTCTGTTTTTTCATTAGCAAATTAAAGTCATGTGATTATATGAAAACCAAAGAGTTAAGGTGTTTTGAGAATCATACCTTTGGTATTCAATGTCGACGATTCCTTGTTTGAGAAGATCTTTGTCAGCACCAACAACAGGTTTAGCCATAGCTCTAAATGCTCTGCTACTAAGGACAAGATCGGTTTGGTTGCTCTTGTTCAAGTCTGTGACCATCACAATGGTTCCTTTGCTGCTACACAGCTTAGGGTTCTTGCATCTGACTTGAAAGCAAGCTCCGCATCCAGCGCCGTCTTTGTAGATCGAAGGTATTGCTGCGGCTATGTGTCCGGCGAAGAAACTCGTAGCCATAGAGCCATAAGAACAAGCTCCAGCTGCAAAAACCCATTAACAAAACATGAGAAAAGAAACAAACAGATACAGTTAAAAAGAAGTAATGATCAGAGAAGATGTGAATGCTTACAAGAGAGAGCAGAAGCAGAGGAGAAATAAGCTGCTTTAGAACGGTGAAGACATCGATCACAAGCGTTAACAGATGATGAGAAGAGGAAGATGACTACAATGAGATAGAGAAAGCTTCCCATTTTTGTTTCTTTCAAGAGAAAACAATAAATAATATATATGATCAAATTAGAGAGATATGTGAATAACATGAAAAGAGAAGAGAGGAGAAAGAATGGATTATATAGAGAGAGAGAGTTGATGCCAGCTCAGCGTCTCAATATCTAACACACACTGTCACGTCATAGCTGGTACATGTGTGAGTGTGTGTAGCTTCCCAATTACGCGTTTTATTCATATGTTAAATTATGAGTCCAAAAAGTAAAAAGAAGTGTGAAAGAGAGAAGAGAGTTTACCAATATGAGTGTCATGGGATGATGTGGCATCATTACACGTTACACCGACTCTTTTCTTTGCCTTGTTGAAGTCGGTCTTCTCTTGAGGTAAGGGACAACATATGTATGTTATAGTATTGAAACTAATTAATAAACGAAACAACCCATATTTGTTCTTTTTTAAACCTAACCTGAGGGAAAAACAAAAAAAAACCTAACCAATAATACATATGTACAATTTTTTATTTAATTTTGCCAACTAAAACATAAATAAATAAATATCAGTAAGAGTTATCGAATTTTAATTGATTTGGAAATCTAAACATAATCATGTGTTATCAGATCCTTTGATACCAAAGTTTTTTTTTATAAAAAATCATGTTAATTCGCTTAACTGATAATTTCAAATACTAGTTTTTTGTTGGTAGAATGTCAAATACTAGTTGAAATATGATATTCCACATTTATTGAGTTTATTACATTTTGACAAAAGATTCGATTTCATATTTGATTTTAACAGATTTGGAAGTGTTTGTAAACAGAAAACAATAATTTTTATTATTTAAAAATCCTTGCATTTTGATTTTAAAATCAGTGAGTACATCCATAAACACGTCTTACCATATCAAATTAAGAATGGATTTTAATAATAGAGAGAAACCTGAAAAAAGGGGATTGCTTTGGGAAGTAGGTGAAGGATAAGAACAAATTCCAAACCTAATTTCAATTTCACTTTCTTTCTTTTTGTCCTAAACCTTTTCATTACTTCGTCTACACACGTTTTCGTATCGTTCGTTGATTAACAATGAGAAAAAATCTACCCATTCGTTTTCACTATATTAGTTTCCCACACTAAAAGAATTTTATTTTTGTTGTTAAAAGACACAAGGAAATAAGAGGTACAAGAACTTAAAAGGGATTAGTTAGGTTTTTAGTTCATAACAACTCATTTCCACTAACGAACCATTGTATAAAGTCTACACATATAATAACTAGATGTAGAGCATTAGCCTCCCCACATTTCAAGTGATTTATCACTAAACTCTATCTATACATGTGTTAGTATTAATTCGGGCATGCCAAAAGTTTGTTTGTTAGATTGTTGATTTGAGTTATTGAAATCTTCAAAATATTCAAAGATTGGTACCATACAACATCCATGTGAGAATGACTCATACGGCATTGATTACAACATGTGAAGATATCTTCATATATAGTACTCCCCTCTCTATTTTTTTTTCATTGTTGGGATTATACAATACATAAGGTTATGACTTATTTAAGATTCTTTATAGCCACTGATTTTTGTTAATGATGCATATCGAAATTAAAGAATCACTCATGTCTTCTTGAGCTTAGTGCTAAATGGGATTTGGTAAAGGCTAATGTCTAGGAAACAAGAATAGTATATATTTGATCATCTTCTTTTTTTTTTTAAGTGGTGGGGCTTTAAAGGAGTCCAATGAAGTGAGTAGGCCTGGGCAAATAAACCGAACCGAATGTACCGAACCGAACCGAAAATTTAAAAATAATCGAATGAATACTATATCTAAATAAACATAATGGCTTCGCCCGGGTTCGAACCGGAGACCTTCAGTGTGTTAGACTGACGTGATAACCAACTACACCACGAAACCATTTTGACGGTGTTGCCTTACTAAAATTAAACATAATACATGGGTTCTCCCAAAGTCTTTCACTGTGTTGCTTTTGAGACATTCACTACTAGTTTCAAGACATTCATTACTAGTTTCAAGTACTCTCGTACGGAACTTGAGGGATAATTTGAGTTGAAAAAAACTCCTCTCAAAATTCTACAAGTGGGATGAGATGAACAAGTTGGAGAGAAATAATACATTATATATTCATGTCAATTTATTTCACTCAATTTTCTAATCTTATTCTATTAAGTGACAACCATTTGCATCTGATTTGTTGAGTTCGGATCTTCAAATGGTTCTATTGCTGATTTTGTTTTAATTGCTGTACTACTTCATTGATGTAGACATCTCTAAGTTATGTTTTTTCTTGTCGGATTCTTGCTTGAAATGATAAGTGACATTTTTCGTTTTGTTTTTTTTTTTTTTTTTCTTAACAACATGAAATCTAGTTTTTAGCAAGATCTTTATTTTTGTGAATGGTGTACCGTGTACATATATAGATTTTATTTTAGTTCCTTTGTTGTGTTACACATACATGTATAATCCTATAAAGGGTGTTTGTTGTTTGCCTATAAATAAGGAGAATTGTAATGAGTCAGTCCCATATGTGACCGCATGTGTCACAACCTTCTTGAGCAATGTCGGTGATCTGAACACCGGTATCATAGATCATCCCAGCTTTCCAATTGGCCGGAAGAACCCTCTTGGACCAAACCGTTTTGCCATCGTAGCCGCCTGTCACCGTGAACCTGAACTGTAGAGCTCCAGTTGGTACTTTGTCAGTCGCCCACACGGCTCCGTGGCTTCTAGTCATGTAACTCCATTGTGACGAACCCACTCGAGCAATGTCAATACCTACCACTTCGGTTTGGCCTCCTTGGTACAAAAGCTTTATCGCCAAGTAATTTGGATTTTTGCTTGCTTCTTCAACTCTCACGTTCAAATTCCTTTTACCATAATTGCAAGGAACTCTGTTTTTATTTACAAAAGTAAATCAGGTGACTATAAAAAGAAACAAGAAGTTAGGTGTTTTAAGAATCGAACCTTTGGTATTCAACGTCGACAATGCCTTGTCTGAGAAGGTATTTGTCAGCACCGACAACAGGCTTAGCCATTGCCCTAAAAGCTCTACTACTAAGGACAAGATCAGTTTGGTTGCTCGTGTTCAAGTCTGTGACCATTACAATGGTTCCTTTACTGGTACACAACTTGGGGTTCTTGCATCTGACTTGGAAGCAAGCTCCACAGCCAGCACCATCTTTGTAAATGGAAGGTATAGCCGCCGCAATGTGACCGGCAAAGAATCTCGTAGCCATAGGGCCATAAGCACAAGCTCCGGCTGCAAAAACAGATAACAAGATATGAGAAAAAGAAACCAAACAAGTAGTTAAAAGGAAGTAATGAGAAGAAGATGGGAATGTTCACAAGAGAGAGCAGAAGCAGAGGAGAAATAAGCTGCTTTAGAACGGTGAAGACATCGATCACATGCGTTAACAGATGATGAGAAGAGGAAGATGACTACGATGCGGTAGAGAAAGCTTCTCATTTTTGTTTTTTTTTTCTAGAGGAAAAAATAATATCTATATGAGCAAAGTAGAGAGATATGTGAATTTAGATGAAAAGAGAGGAGAGGACAAAGAATGGATTATATAGTAGCATGATGATGAAGATTGAAGAGAGTTGATGCCAACTCAGCATCTCAATATCTAAGAAGCTGGTGTGTAATCTTTCTAATTACGCGTTTGACTCATAGAGTCATTTAGTCAAATTTAATCACTCATAAAGTCATTAGTCAAATGACATATTTACCAATTATGAATTTATGACTAATAGGTGGATGACCTTGCATTGTACCGACTCTTTACCTTTGTAAGTTGTACATGTCGGTCTCTTTTCTACTCTTCTTTGTTTGAATTATTTGTGTATTTGTGAAACTTATTAATACTAAAAGAAACAACACATTTGGTTTTTTAACCTAACCAATACA